TGAGCATCCACCAGCATTTCGCGATACTTCCTGGGCTGAGGCCAGCGTTCCGTTTCGCGACTGCGTTTGGAACCATGACATCAGAATTCATAACCAGCTTCAAAGAGCATCAAAAAATCACAAGGCCAAAGGATGTCACACACACACACACACACGCACACACACACACATATATATATATCTATACACCTATGATCATATATGCACATATATATATATTTCTACACATAATTCTTTATACAGTTACATGTTCATAATTCTACACATGTCATGTATATTCTGCATATGTGGGGCCTCATGTAGGTCACTACAGAACTGAGAAAAAACTGCACGGTTAACAGCGGCAACAACAACGATAAGAACAATAACAAGAACAATAACAATAACAAGAAGGACAACACGAACAAGAAGAGCAAGAACAAGAACAACAACAAGAACAACAACAACAAGGGGAACAAAAACAAGAAGAACAAGAAGAACAAGAACAAGAACAACAACAAAAAGAACAAGGAGAATAAGAAAAACAAGAAGAGCAAGAAGAACAAGAGGAACAAGAGACAGGAAGAACAAGAAGAACAAGAAGAACAAGAAGGACAACAAACGACAAGAACAGTAACAACAACAGTAACAGCAGCAGCAACAGCAACAAACCAGCAACAACAACAACAACACCAACAAAAACATCATAATTTTTGATCAGAGTTTTGCCCGCTGGACCTCAACCACAAAGAATATGAGAAGATATACCAGATAGAATGCCAGCAAACAATGCAAATAAATGAGACAAAATGCGCATGCCAGATAGCATGTCAGAAAATATTATTTAAAAAAAGTGTCACTTGGTGGGGATCACTCGAAGAAAGTAATTTGTTCCGAAGGCTTTCAAGAATGGACTTAAGACAGCCAAAATGATGCCTTGTGGGGCCCTGCGCGCATCATCGCCATCATCAACAACGGTAACGACATCAAGCATTTGGTCTTGAATTCTCCCCCCCTTCCGCTCCCTCCACGAACCCTAAGAGCAGACCCAAAACACTGTAGTATAGAGTGTTTTTGTGCCTTTGGCATGGAAAAGTATTTCTTGCAACATGCTGAAAATTGCGTAGATACTAGTGTTTTTGCTAGGCACTGGCCAAGAAAACACTGTAAATACTGCGATTTTTGTTACCAAAGGCAAAAAAACATCGTAAATACGGTGGTTGTGGGCTTCTGAGGCGCAAAAAACATAAGTATTTACAATGCTTTTTGCTCCGAGAGTTTCAAAAAAACGTGAAAACACCACCAATTTGATTATTTTTCGGCCAGTACGGGACTGAGAAAAAATTGCACGGGAAACAGCGGCAACAGCAACAAGAAGAACAAGAAGAACAAGAAGAACAAGAAGAACAAGAAGAACATGAACAATAAGAACAATAAGAACAAGAAGAACAAGAAGAACAAGAAGAACAAGAAGAACAAGAACAATAAGAACAATAAGAACAAGAATATAGAAGAACAAGAAGAACAACAAACAACAAGAACAGCAACAACAACAGTAACAGCAACAGCAACAGCAACAACACCAGCAACAACAAAAACATGGAAATTTATTATCCGAGGGTTGCCCGCCGGAGCTCAACCACAAAGAATCTCCAAAGATATACCAGATAGAATGCCAGAAAGAATTGCAGTAAATAGATGAGACAAAATGCGAATGCCAGATAGCATGTCAGAAAATATTATGTAAAAAAAGTGTCACTTGGTGGGGATCACTCGAAGAAAGTAATTTGTTCCGAAGGCTTTCAAGAATGGACTTAAGACAGCCAAAATGATGCCTTGTGGGGCCCTGCGCGCATCATCGCCATCATCAACAACGGTAACGACATCAAGCATTTGATCTTGAATTCTCCCCCCCTTCCGCTCCCTCCACGAACCCTAAGAGCAGACCCAAAACACTGTAGTATAGAGTGTTTTTGTGCCTTTGGCATGGAAAAAGTATTTCTTGCAACATGCTGAAAATTGCGTAGATACTAGTGTTTTTGCTAGGCACTGGCCAAAAAACATTGTAAATATTGTGATTTTTGCTACCAAAGGCAAAAACACAGCGTAAATACCCGTGGGTTTTGGGCTTCTGAGGCACAAAAAACATCAGTTTTACAATGTTTTTTGCTCCGAGAAATTCAAAAAACTGTGAAAGCAACTTGTTTGATGATTTTCGGCCACTCCAGGACCGGGAAAAAACTGCACGGGTAACAGCGGCAACAATAACAAGAAGAACAAACACAAGAAAAACAAGAAGAACAAAAACAAGAACAAAAACAACAACAACACCAACACCACCACCACCACCACCACCAACAACAACAACAACAACAACGACAACGACAACGACAACGACAACAACAACAACAACAACAACACCAGCACCAGCAACAGCAACAGCAACAACAAGAACAAGAACAGGAACAAAAACAAGAACAAAAACAAGAACAAGAACAAGAACAAGAACAAGAACAAAAACAAGAACAACAACAACAACAACAACAACAAGAACAAGAACAAGAACAACAACAAAAACAAGAACAAGAACAAGAAGAACAAGAAGAATAAAAACAACAAGAACAAGGAGAACAAGAACAAGGAGAACAAGAACAAGAAGAACAACAAGAACAAGGAGAACAATAAAAACAAAAAGAGCAAGAAGAACAAGAAGAACAACAGACAGGAAGAGCAAGAAGAACAAGAAGAGCAAAAAGTACAAAAAGAACAAAAACAACAATGACAAGAACAACAAAAACAACAAGAGCATCAAGAACAACAATAACAACAAAAACAACAAAATCAACAAAAACAACAAACAACAGCAACAACAACAGTAACAACAACCACAGCAACACCAACAGCAACAACAACAGCAGCAACAACAACAACACCAACAACAACACCAACACCAACACCACCAACACCAACACCACCACCACCACCAACAACAACAACAACAAAAACAAAAAAAACAACATTTTTTTTATGATCAGAGTTGTGCCCGCCGGATCTCAACCACAAAGAATATGAGAAGATATACCAGATAAAATGCCAGCAAACAATGTAGCAAATAAATGAGACAAAATGCGAATGCCAGACAACATGTCCGAATATATGTCACAAAATGTCACTTGGTGGGGATCACTCGAAGAAAGTAATTTGTTCCGAAGGCTTTCAAAAATTGACTTAAGACAACCAAAATTATGCCTTGTGGGGCCCTGCGCGCATCATCGCCATCATCAACAACGGTAACGACATCAAGCATTTGATCTTGATTTTTTGTTTCATTTTTTTTGGCGTTTTCGATGTGGTGACGCATTTTGCACAGATAGGTTTCTAGAAACTGACGACGTTACGCACAGAAACCTTTACACACAGCAACTTTTACGCGCAGACATTCTTACACAGAGAAATTTGTGCACAAAAAAAAAAGTACACAGATGCCTTTGCAAACAGAGGTTTTTACGCACAAAAAAATGTATTTTGCACACATATGCTTTGTACAAAGATGTTTTTCCGCGCGTACATAAAGGCACATATGCGTTTTTACACACACAACCTTTTCCACAGAGAAGCCTTTGCGCAGAACAATTTTTACACATGTTTTTTTAAAACATTTGACGCAGAAAAACTTGTACACAGAGAATGCGCACATAAGTTTTTACAGACCGACTTTTTTGCACGCAAAAAATTTACCCGAACAGTTTCTACTACACAGCAAAAATTTTTTCGCACAGAAACCTTTACGCACAAAAAAAATATGCACAACAATCTTTACAGACAGATGGTTTTTACACAGAAAATTCTCCGCACAGAAGTCTTGCGCACAGAAGGTTTTAAGCACAACATTTTTTACATAATTACAGACGCTTTTACACACATGTCTTTACACAGACACAAATTGCACACAAAAACTTGTGCACACAGCACGCGTTTACACACAACCAACTTTTACACAGAGAGCCTTTGCTTCCCCTTCCTGATCACCTACCTTTCGTGTTCCCCCTTTCAAGTTTTTTTGGGAGGTACACATTTTCGTGTTTGGCACCAGCAGCGTAACTCGTTACCATTTTTGGTTTCAAATAGAACATAGGGCGGCGGATGTGAGAGGCCCAAAATTGCAGATCCTGTGATGGAATTGATTGTCAAAGACACGACTCGCTTTCATCAAAAAAACAACACATCTTTGTATATTCTTACCTCGCTGCCAAAGTGTGCGTAAGTGCTCTCGGAATGAAGAGATGGGCACGCCATCAAACTTTTTGCTATCAAACAAAGCAGCACTTGGTAGGTCTTGTATATAAGCGATCCGCCAAATAAACGCTAAGCGTCCATAGCACGGGGGTGGAGGGGGGGTGGACGCGATTCAGACGAACCAAAAACGCGTAACAACAGAACAAAGGAACAAGTACAAACCAAAAACAGAAACAAAAACAACACTTTCCAATCAGACACGCCGGCAGGCCGGCGGATTTACATGTTCTTTCGTGTTTTGTTTCGCTCATTTCGATTTTGGGGACAGATGTGTGCACCTTTGTGCCACCCAAGGCATGATTGGCGGAAGGTTTGGCATGTTTGGCACCAGTGGTTAAACACATTTTTTCGATGAAAAAGTACCATTCACACCATTTCGCAAGTAGAATTTTGTGATGGTTATTGAAAACCAAGGCCTTGATGCATTGACATCACAAGACCGGGTTTACAATTGTTTTTTTTTTGGTTCTCTGCCCAACGTGATGTCCAGTTGCTTGCGCATTTTGTGCCGGCTGCTGTTTCACTTTTAGCTTTAATTAGGCCCATGTTGGCATGGATTGTCGTGGCAGTACGATGCCCACAATTTGCCAAATTTCCGACAGTATTCTTTCGATTTTGCCAAACCGCATTTGCAACATGTTTGTTTTGGTTGAATACTGTCACAAACCATGCAAAACACCAAACATACGAATCATACAATAACTCATTCTTTTGACGGTCAAAGACCCGTGTTCGCTTCGAACCCTTTCCATTTCTGCCATGCCGTCCTTCAAGGCACGCACTGGTGCCATTTCTTGGTCAATCCTTGGTGCAATTAGAATGTATTCGACTTTTGACAATGGCAGGCTTTTGCCGATTTTCAAAAGAAGGCAAAAGAAGCAGCAGCATCCAAGCGTAAACCTTAGGGTTCTGGAGTCGCCCCTGATTTTTTTGGACCATTCAATTGCCAGGTATCCCGGCGCTCACCCGGAAGGGTATGTTGGGTACTTCACATGCAAAAGACACATCTAATGTTGATTCGTCACCAAGGTCTGCAGAGTCGAAGCGGCCCCAGAAACTCTTATGGGTTTCGGAAACTAAAATTCTGGTTCTCTGAACCCGAACACCATGTTTGCCCTCAATACAGCACAAATAGATTCAGAACTATACGAAACGATCACTTCACATTGCAGATGCATTGCCGTGGCGATCGATATGCCATTGAAAGGTGGTTTTTGCTGACAAGTGTGCAAAAATTTGGAAACATTATTTTTCCAAACATTTTTTTTTTCACCGGGCAACAAAACTGAACACGAGCAATTGGCATGGAGGGTTTCCTTCGCTCCTAAGGCAGGATGGCGTGAAAGAGACGGGGCGAGAGGCGCATCCAGTAATACTGCGGAAAATTGGTTTCCGCTTTTGAAAAACTGCTACAGAGGTACAAGGGATTCTACTGGTTTCATTGGATGAATGTGGTAACCCAACAATAAACATAATAATAAACCTCCAATTGGGGATTCATAGCCGCTATACATACAACCCATTTCTGGTAAATTTGGGGATGGTTTCTCATTTTACCACATTACTAGAAGTACTATAAGTACGAACATCAATGATCATGGGTGGGCCGTCAAACAGGAGGAGTCAATATCCGCAATTTCAATGCAGGCTCCGGTACAGCCTCCTGTCACACCCAAGGCGGGGTTTCGTCGTGCTTCATGCTGTAAAAAAACATGTGTTTTGAAAGGAAGTCTTGCGAGAAAATCCCGTGTTTTTGTTGAGACTGAATTTGATTAAAATTCCTCAAGGACTCCGAACACCTTATCTTCTGTTATTATTGATGTAACAACAAACAACACTAAGTGTTCTCCCTCTGGATGAATCAACACGATTGGTTCCTGTGCATAAAATGTGATGACTCCTGCACGATGCCAGCGGCAGGAGTTGCAGATAGGGATGACCGTACGCGTGAAAGGTTTGCAGGCGCTGGGTGAGAGGGGCAGAGGCCAGAGATGAAGAATTTGTGCACATTCCAATTTTTTTCTGTTTATATATATATATACACATACATATACATACATATACAGACATATAAATACATATAAATACATATAAATACATATGAATACATATAAATACATATAAATACATATGAATACATATAAATACATATAAATACATATAAATACATATAAATACATATAAATACATATAAACATATAAATACATATAAATACATATAAATACATATAAATACATATAAATACATATAAATACATATAAATACATATAAATACATATGAATACATATGAATACATATAAATACATATAAATACATATAAATACATATAAATACATATAAATACATATGAATACATATGAATACATATGAATACATATGAATACATATGAATACATATGAATACATATAAATACATATAAATACATATAAATACATATAAATACATATAAATACATATAAATACATATAAATACATATAAATACATATAAATACATATACATACATATAAATACATATAAATACATATAAATACATATAAATACATATAAAGACATATAAATACATATGAATACATATAAATACATATAAATACATATAAATACATAAATACATATAAATACAGAAATACATAAATACATAAATACATAAATACATAAATACGTAGATACGCAAATACACAAATACATAAATGCGTAAATACACAAACACATAAATACATAAATACAATAAATACAATAAATACAATAAATACAATAAATACAATAAATACAATAAATACAATAAATACAATAAATACCATAAATAAATAATAAATAAATAATAAATACATAAATAAATGAATGAATAAATAAATGAAAGAATAAATAAATTAATGAATGAATAGATAGATAAATAAACAAACAAACAATTTTAAACAATTTTAAACAATTTTAAACCATTTTAAACCCATTGCTGCTGGTAGGAGTCAGCATTCTTCAGCCTTTCCAGGCACGACCGGAGCTCAATGGACTCGAGGGCGTGTTGACGTTTCGTGAGGAGGAGAAGGGTCGCTGGAAGGTGGCGCAGCGCAATTTTTTCTCCCGGAGGAACTGTGTTTGCGTCCACAGCATGCTGGGGTTACCAGCAATACCCATCAACCTCCGATTTTTTTTGATCTCCACATTTTGTTTGACTGTACTCATATCAATGTAGTTATGACGTGTAGTTGTTTTCGCATAGTGGCAATCTATCCCGCTCTCCTGATTTTGGGTTCTCACCCTGGTAGGTGGAATTGAAGAATGGTGGTGGCGCCAAGCTGTTCAAGGCTCCAAAAATTCGGCGTTGAAAACTAGGGGATTGCTGATTGCTGGAATTTCTGACCAATTCCAAAGCCAGCAAGGCTGCTCTTTTTTTTGGGAAGATTTGAAGATGACGATCGACCGGTGGATTTGGGGGTTTGGTGACCTCTAGGACGCCAATCTAGAGCCCTACATCTCCGACAAGGTGGGCCCTGAGAGCCTTCAGCGGAGGTTGGAAGGCTTTGACTACCCACTGGGAAAAACAGGGATTTGATCAGGTGATAACCGGTGATAACTGCATCCCGTATCCCTTGATGAAGAAATGCTTCCAAGAAACCTGATTGAAGAGTGGATTTTGTTCATTTCTTGAAAACCCACACCCAGTTACAGACCTGCACCTCGCCTGGCGCGCCTCAGGATGCACTGAACATTCTGAGGGCCGAGGTGAAGGACAAGGGTTGTGGGGCTCAGTGCAGAATCCATGGGTGATTGGCCATGGCGGCCATGGCGGCCATGGCGGCCATGACTGAAAACTTGGTGAGTCTTTGGGAAGCCAGTAGTTTTGGGCGTCCGACTTTGAAGGCCAACACGTAGACTCTTAGATCCCAACTGATGCTGAAAGGGGGTAGCCTACACATTTTTTCTGCCGCAGGAAGACTGCAGGCCGCCTGTGCGAGCAGAGGCTCCGAGTTTGGCACCTGGCGTTGATGGGGTTGATGGATTTGATGGTGGCAAGATGTTGTGAGTATATCTAGGAATCTAGGGATCTTTCGTAGTGGTATCGATAGGACAATTCTTGGTCCATGTTTCAAGTCAGTTCCGAAACCCATTGAGTTGGCTGTTTGGGGTTTGAAGATTGACACTTCCCACCTAGTTGCAGGGCCTCTTCTTGGGAACATGCCACTTCTCAACTCTCTTGGGTCTATGTTCCATCCCTGCTACCCACAAAGATACCATGATTCAGCATGATGATGAGCTCCGATCCCAGCTATCACGTTCTCATTCCACCTCAGTGATCAGGTGACAGTCTTACTAACCCAGTCTGTGTAGGTACCCATTCTTAGGTAAACAACAATTGGTTTTCCTGTCCTGGCGTCCTGGCTTGACTCAATGACCGGCTTAGGTCCAGTGCCATCGCCGGTATCCACACCAGTGGAGACAAAGGTAGAAGCTGAGCGCCATTCTGACTTTTTTGACCATGTCTGCCGACCTCGCCAGACTGTTGTGTCTTAAGAATCTTAAACCTTCCAAGTTGTGTTTGGAACCCGAAGGCCATCGAAGGCCTACCCATGGGTTGTTGGATGATGAGGTTTCCAAGAGTATGCCGTATGCCCATCGGAAAATTACTACACCCATCCATTGGAGCTTCAACCCCGGGAGTTACATGATAAACTTTTCAATCCCCCTAGCCCTGATTTTGAAATCGGAAGGGGGGGACTCATTTTGCAATTGCTTTTTGGATTTCTTTTTCTTCATAGGTTGGTCCAACCTGTTGATTTTCACTGATTTTCTACCTCTCCTTTTCCTCTCCCGAGTCGTCTCCTCTCCGGAACCACTCAGAACTGAGGCTCCAAACCTCCCCAAACCTCCAAAAACCACAATTTTAATGGACGGGCAGCACATCGCTTAAAACCACTGGTTTTAAGCAAGGCAGTCAGTTGTGCTGTTTGGGAAGGTTTGGAGGGGAGAAGAGAGGACATTATTGAAAAGTAGCCGGGACTCACCACACTCTAGAAGTGATAGGCTTCTGCAGGCACATGTTTGGCGTGGCTTTGGATTAAGGTTTCAGATTAAAAGCGGTGGCCGAAATGCAGGGTTGGGACAACTAAAAGAAATCCTACCCCTCCCCACCCCCTCCCCCTTAGGTCCAGGTTTTTCTTTTCATTAAATCAATGCATTTAAGCCATCATCATGACTCTTGTATATTTTGTAAAGTAAAAATCCATTATAATCGAGGTGTTACTTTTTCAATGGGAAAATCATCAATGGTCCATTTTCAATTGCAATGGTCTTTATACTTTTGGGATCTTTTTGGATGGTGAAATGTAAAGAATCAGGAAGCCATGCTGCTCTCGAGACGTCTGGCGCCAGGTCCCAAGTCCTTTCTGGAAAGATCTCGAGCAGCTGGAAACTCTGGGAGTTTCAGCATTGGGCGAATGTCCTTGTTTTGACGAACAAAGAACAGCAGAATGATCTTATTTACCCTCTGGTTATGTCAAAATAGCTATTGAAAATGGCCCATAGAAATAGTTGATTTAACTATTAAAAATGGGTGGATCTTTCCATAGCTATCTTAGTTTACCAGAGGGTAAACCTCCATTTTCCTATAGTTTTCCTATGGTTCTTCCATTAAAACCAGTCTATGGGTATGATGATGGTGACGATGATCCCAGGCCGAAGGGGGCGCCCAAGTGTCCGCGGCTGCAGTGGCTGCGGCGGCGGCGGTGGCGAAGGTGCAATGCGTAACGAGGGGCACTGCCCGATTCTGCTTAGAACTGGGCTCATGAGTTCTACAGTCTACATATATATATATATATATACACAACTCAACTGTATGTATGTATATATATATATGTATATATATATATATGTATATATATATATATGTATATATATATATGTATATGTATATGTATATATATATATATTATAATGTGTATGCATATGTAAACACAATTACATAAATGTCTCTGCATGCACGCGAAATATATATATATAACTTATGATACCCATGCAATTCGACTGGGTCTTATATCTGATAAACCACTTACACGGGGTGAAATAAACAAGTGAGAAGTTGGATCAGAACCCATCTCTGGATCATGGATTCGGGGTTCTAGAATATTAGGCCCTCAGACTCTGGGTTTGATGCATTTAAAGCCCTGATGTCAAACATACAGATCATAGAACCACTGCTCTAATGGCACTATCCTTGTTTGCATTCAAATGGCAGAAAAATACTTCGGCCCACTGTTATGTCGGCACGTGAGAGCTGTAGTTGTGACCCGTTGTCAAGCTAGGAGCGTTGTTCCTTTCATTAATATTGTCAAATTTTCCCCAGGGCCCCACTGCACCCGGCGCGTGCAGGGTACTCGAGCTGCAGGTGTGGAGCGATGATGTTTGGTGACACTGATTTTTCTCAGCCGGCAAAACGATACTAAATATATCTATCAAAATCTCTCAAATCTAAGTCTGGAACCCACAAAAATCGGCAATTTCCAGCAGGAACCAGCAGGATTCTTGGATCCACCTGGCAGGTGACGACGATCAGAGCGAAGTCTCTACGGCCTTGGAGGTGCCGTGCCCCACCCAGTCGGGGGCGGAACATCCAAGTTGGAAAGCCCATTGACTTTGCAGGATGACGAGGCTTTCGTCAGATCCATTGAGCAGTGCCTGAAGGACGGAAACGCGAAAAACCGTGGCGGAGATGCGTTGCTGTCGTTGCTATCGTTGCGTTGCAGGAGTGTGACGTCATGTGGGATGACTACTAGTGACGGTCACGTCGACCTCAGTGCTGCGGAGAGAAAGATGCAGTCCTTGGGGTGGGATGGGATGATCATCGGATGATCCTTGAAGTGCAAATGCTTAGTCGCTGGGTTGTCGCTGGGTTCCCTTTGCTAAAATCTCAGCTTTTTTTCAGGGTGAAGTTGAGCCAGTACTCACCACTCACACAGTAGGAATTGTCTAGTGTGGCTGTGGCTCAAGAACATGTGCCGGTGGTGTCTATGCTGCATTATTGAGATGTTCAAATTGGCACCAAGGTTTTGTTCTGCTTTGGTATCTGTTGTGTGGACCCAATCCTACTATTTGCTTCAGGAAAAAATTAAGATTCAACACTGAAAGTGCCACATAGACTTGGACCAACTTGGAGACTTCCCCTGCAAGCTGCTGCAAGCTGCTGCAAGCTCTTGTATTCCCCAGTTTCATCACATGATTTTTGTAGCCAGGGCCAGGTTGCCATGGCGCTGTCTGGACCGGTGGCAGGAACGGACAGCTTTCTGGAACGCGATTGGCGGGTGCCACCTGAGATGCTTTTCAGCTGCAGAGGTTTCAGAGGTTTTGGAGGTGCAAAAGTTGGTCTTGTTCACCCATGTTTTTTCAATAGGGAAAGTCTCTTAGATGGCTTCTCAAGGATTTTCTTCAATGTTTTTATTTTCAACCACTTTTTTGAATTGTTTTGGGTGGCTTTCTGAAAGGGCTATGGGTGGTAGCCGCGCCAAGGTCATGTGATCGTTTGAGGGTCGCCAGTCTGTCCTGGCGCCGCTTTCGGAAGCTCTTTGGGCTCTACGTGAAGGACTTCTTGGTGCCGAAACGGCGGGAACGCTTGGCGAAAGACGCCAGGTTTCTGACGAGGCTTGGGGGCTTGGAGGTTCCTGAAGTTACTGAAAGATGCTGAAAGTTACCCTCTGGTAATTTCTCGTAGCTATTGTCAATGGCCATTTATAGTGGATTTACCCATTGAAAATGGTGATTTTCCATAGTTATGTTAGTTTACCAGAGGGTACATTGATGTGTGTTCCAAGCTCGGTCCACTTGCAAATTTTCTGCCAACATCATTCATGATATTCATGTGGAACAGAATGCAGTTGGATCTTTTGGAATCGACCTGGAGGAACTCCAGCCGTGGCAAACTGCGTGAGCACTTCTCCATGGTGTTGAAATATCTCAGTGGCACCCAGCCCGACTTGCCGGATGAGCTTTGTTTCTTTGGTGAGATGGCTGCCTTCTTGGTACTCCAGAGGGAAACCGGGGAATGGAGCCACAGTGAGGTCATTTCTCAGGTGGGAGTGGACATTGGGGACCATGGGGATGTCAAGAAATATCGGATATGGGATGCTCGGGCACCAGAAACCAGCAATTTGAGTTGCAGAATTCACATCACCTCCTGATGGTTGATACCCTCAACATCCCTCAACTACTAAAGTTACTAAAGGGTCTGAAATCTTATCCTAAGGGTACTCCGGGACATGGGGTCTATATAGAATCATTGCCTATGATAATAAACCGACCTAAAGAGGGGTCTGAAATGGTTCACAAAATATAAGAGGTTTTATACGAAAAGTAGGGGTCTAAAATCTTTCTGGAAACGTTTTTGTGTTGGGGTCTACTATGGTCTTTCACGAGCTTGTCCCAAAGATTACATGACTTTTAGATCACGTTAGACCCTCAAATTTTGTACCCAAGGGAGGGTCTGGATCATCAGCATTTTGGTACGGTAAACCTAATGAAAGATGATTTTAGACCTAGGTTTTTGAGGTCTAAATTGGAGTATCTACCCTACCCCTGCAGTAGTTGAGGGTATGATGGTTGTAGATGATCCTCATGGTAGGCTGATGTTGAAATGGGCCGTGTACTGTACCTAGGCCAGTCCCAGGATAATTCCTGCTTGAAAAGTTGTCCAGTGTGTCCAGTGGTTATTTTAGCAACAGCGGACAAACCCACATTTTCCCAGTGTGTCAGTGACTAAGTGACTAATTTTCGTACTACTGACTCCAGTTACTGCATTTCTAGATCTCGTATCCTTTCCCAAGGTGTAAGCGCGTCCTCTAACGTCGCTCTGGAGCTGTTAGAGAACTGTCAATTGCCAAAAAGACAGTTTTGTCGGTCCAAACCCCATGCCCCTCGATTTGTTCTGGTTCTTTTTGATTAGCAGCAGAATATTGTTTTCGTGCTCTCCTTTACGTTTTCTTCTTTTCTCTTTCCCTGTTTCTCCTTTCATTGCTACTTTGCTTCTTACTGCTGCACATCTGATGTGATGGGCGGATATCCCCTTATATATTTCAGTATTACGATTAGTTTCCCAATAAATAATATCACCAATAATATCTTGTGTGGTAAATGTCTACCTCAAGCATTTATTAGAATTTTTCCAAACTCACCTGTTTTTTGGTGATTCCACACCCCATTGGATGCCCATTTTAGGTGGAGTTTGTGAGCTGGATGGGCCGAGACAGTGGCTGGCCACTATGGACAGGAACGCAGATGGGCCTCCAGGGTAATCCGCGACCTTTGTGGCTGAGCGCGACCTTAGTGGTTTGTAGCCCATAGCGTTGTTTTTTTAAATGTGGCTATTTAGTAGCTTACTCATTGGGATGCGGCCCCAAGTCAACTATTTTTTAATTTTTCAGACTTCGTTTTTCAGAGAGAAATTGCGGGAAGTATCCTATGATGGTGGCACTGTATATCTGATAACAGAACTATCCCAGTTTTCTGCAGGTTTTCCAACCCAGTGAATTGTTTTATCCGCTCCTGAAACTGTTGCCGTAGACAACAGACGTGCTGGGCGTATGGGTGAAGGTAGGGTACCCCATATGGCTGCGCCTGAAAATGGGGGAATGCACTCAAAATGTCAATTTCACGGGTAATGAACGATGGAATTTTGAGGTGCACAATTTTCAGATACACCCATGTTGCAAAGATTTTAAGTGCCTGCCAACCATGACCAAAATCTGTGGTCCCCATGTCCCCATGTGCAAAATACCTAGGCCAGGCGATTTTCCCATGGACTATACTGCTGTTCTTGCTTTGGATCCGCCGGAAAACTCGATGCGTGCCAGATGGCAAGAAGTGAAACCGCGAGTTGCCATAGTGGGTAGCCATTCCTCACAGCTAACACAAACTGGTGAGATGCTACAAGAGCTCATAACACCACTGGAATTGCACTATGCTGGGTGCGGCTACCGTGAACCTATATGTAAAGAACTTGATAGCGATCCCAACTCTGATCTCGCGAATGGAATTTGGTATGTGGACAAGGAACGCATCACACGGGGCATGCTGGCAGATCGCATTCCGGGCTATGACCTTGTAATCGTTATAGACGTGGGTTTGAGCCGGCTTTTGCGCCAGCTGTCTCAGGAAGTTCCCATTTTGCATGTCATAGGCCTCTACCCTCTGACCGAACTGGCAGCAGACATCTCAGAAGAACTGTTGCTAAGCTCTGAACATCCAAAAACATATTCAGTGGCGACTTCAGGGGTTTGTGCATTGCACCTTGCTTGGATGACTGGCTTTAGACTACCTGTGATCACACCTCTCCCGCATCCCACAGTGGTTTATGATCCAAACAGCACTCTTGACATGGCATCCTACCGCCGGACCCTGCTACAATGGCGTGGGGATGTGCTTTGGAACACCATCGCTGGGAGTACCTTCTGGGTTTGGCTCCAACTCTTGTTCCATCGCAGTGCGGCCCTGGACATTTTGCGCATGACAGGAGCGATGAGCTGGTCGCGAGTGAGTCAGCACGATGCTGTCCTCTTCGTCCCCGAGGATCTCACGAAGATCGCCTTCTGGGATCTCTATGCAGCAGGGATGCCGATCTTTGTGCCTGACGTGGAGGTCCTAGCCATGCTGCTGTGTTTTGAAGAGAGCTCGGTGAAGAAGATGCACTACTTCGATACAAGTGCACGGCAGGTGTTCAGTGGAACTGGGCAGTTTGAAGACTTGGAACCGTTTGATCTGAGAAGACACTGGGTGGTGAAAGAAAAGATTTGAGCAACAATCATGGGGATTGAATTCGGATTGAACTTCCATGACATGTGGATGTAAATAGAACTGCTTGTTTTCTTTACTTGAAACATGGGACGATGATCCCCAAGAGATGAATATGTGGATTATGGGCTCAACCATTAGGACATTGTGTGCAGAAGCTGCAACTCTGGGCACCATTTGCTGACTGCTACCAGTTTCCACATGTGATGCTTAGCTGAAGCTCCGGGATTTTGTGGTGAGCTGGTGGGCTCCAGAATGGGACAATAGAAAGTCTGGGATGATCTGATGCAAGAACGATGCTCTTGTCGGTCCAGTGGAATGTTGGTTCATCGCCAGCACAATCACCACAATCACCATAATCACCATAATCACCATCATCACCATCACCATCACCATCACCATCACCATCATCATCATCATCATCAGCAGCAGCAGCAGCATCAGCATCAGCATCAGCATCACCATCCTCCTCGTCGTCATAAATATCAACATCATAATCCTCGTCTTCATGACGACCACCATGTCTTTGCTTGATAGTCAATTTAAAGATAACAAATCAATACAAATCAAACGTTGCTTAAAAGTTTGCTGGCTTTGTCCACGACCTCTAATTGTGTCTCTAGTGGGGTGAAGCAACAATCTTGATTGTACTGGTGAACTGTTCCACATCCCTTGCGCTGGATTGCATACAAAAAACTGACGGTCATGCGTATTGTGTCCCAAGTATTGTTGCTCCATTTCCTCTTGGTTTGGATTTCTAGGTTGGTAAGTGGTGGTCCAGATATAACCCATAACTGGGGATATTGCATATATATATATATATATATTGCATTAATCTAACTTTTTTTTTGCCCAATTCTGCGTGGGATGCTGATGGCTGTTGGGATTCATCCCTCGAGCTTTGCTGACAAAATTCCGGCGAAGATGGCACCGAAATGGCACCACTTACATATCTACACCACACACGATTGCAGTTGATGAAATGCATCGCCGCATCCGCTTCCTTTTGTTTCCTAATCTAATCTTCACCTGTCAGGATCATATCTACACTCCACACCTATACCCAGAAAAATATTGGTGGGATCGGCCTCTTTCAATGTTTGAGTGGGATGGGTGATCATTTTTGAGGTCATCTTCCAATCATCCCAAGCAAATTTCCGGAAAAACCCATTGGGTTTCAAGAGTGTCCCTTGAACCAATCCACTCATGATATTTGGTGATTTAACATAGCTATTGAAAATCACCATTTTTAATGGGAAAATCCACTATAAATGGTCATTTTCAATAGCTATGTTAAATTACCAGAGGCTATTTGGTGATTTAATCCCTTCTAAATTCAAGTTTTTGCTGACTTGAGACTCCACCAGAAAAGGTGGGTTTATCCATGGTTTATCTGAAAATCAGGTCCACCCATCCACTGGTTCATCCTCCTTGTCAGACACATCCAAATTGGATACGGTTGGTTACAGATCCCATCAATCCCCCCATTCAAATTTCAATATGTCCCCATTATATCCCAGTAAATCCCTATTTTCCCTTCCGCGTATCCCATGAATTTCCATTATCTCTCAATTTCTCTGGCATATTGTGCAAAAACCATCAAGATCCCATAAAAAGTGCCCACAATCAATTTCCCATCAATTTCCCATCAATTTCCCATCAATTCCCATTAGCCCCAGATATCTCAAGGATGATTTTCTCCTCCTCGTTGCAGCTCTTGGAGTGGCTCCAGCAGGAGGACCTGCGGCAGCGCAGCGCGCAGATGCGCCGCAGCGCTGCGGAGCTGCGACGGCGCTCCATGGAGCGCTTCGCCGCGGCGCTGGCGCAGGTCGCAACGTGAAGGACGGGTTTCTTGGGGGACAAAAGGGGATAGAAATAGGGGTTACAATGGTGCTTGGAATGGGATATAGTATATATATATATATACAAAACAGTGAAAGGTGCGAGTGGTGTCATATATTCATATAATTATATAGGTGTCATATATACATATAATTATATATAATATATATAATATATAATTATATATATAATATGTATATATATATATATATATGTATCACAGAATGATGGGCCCATTTTGATGGTGCTTCTCTGAAGCCTCCAGTTGCTCCTTCATGACCCTTAACAGCTGTATACCGTATACCCAACCCCGAAGAGGGGTGTACAGATCGTCCCTATATTTTGATGGGGTTGTAATCACCCAGAACTGGGGTTGTGTAGGATTTAAGTGGAGTCAAAACCCTACTGATAACTGGAAGGGAACTATCATATTTGACGGGCAGAAAAAAGTATGGGAGGTACTTGGGAGACTTTAAGAGGAACAAGTAGGTAGATCTTTTGACAAACGGGATCTGAGTAGCGCTGGGGATTTCAGACACAAAACTTGGGGATTTCATCCGTCTAAACAGGAGAGGTCGGTCTGTGGTGCTTGTAGCCTTTGCAGCTTCAGCCGGAACTGGGATTTTCTGTGCAATAGAAGAAGCTCTGGAAGTTGTGGCAGTTAATCTCTTGGTCAAAGTAAGCCACAGGATACTTGTCAAAGTGCAACAGCAAGATTTGTTCTACCTGGATGAGTTCATCTCGCACTGTGGCAGCCTCTGGCGAACAATGCAGCATGGCACGCAGAGTCACATGCAGGTGCAGCCTGGTGCATGCTCACCACGTGCAGCGGCATTCAGGTTGTCCACAACGGAAACAGAATTCTAGGTCCTTGGTGGCTGATGTTGGACATGAGATCCAATTGGGAATCTCAGTGTGGGAGCGACCTGATCTTTCTTCCAGCCCAAAAAGGGGTGCACCTGGGGGGTGATCCACTCATTGGAGTTGATCTACTGTACATGGGGGGGTGGCAGCCTTTGAAATGGGAACTATCGAATTCTCAGTACCCGAGCCCGTCAATTGCAAAGGTGTATCTCAGGCTGGGGAACCCTTAAAAAGCGAACACATCTACCGGAAAGGATTTATTTTGGACAAAAACCAATGGGTAGAACGGATGGAATTTCAGGAACTGTGACGCCTAGGAATTAGGGGGAGCTCACCTGATAGGCGGTTTGCACTCCACACAGAGCAACAAGTAGACACAAATGCAGACTGGATTGGCAGTTGCGATCAAACAATTCATGATATACTTTCTGGATATTGGTTCATGTATGTTCATGTTCATGTATATCAAATACATCTTATATCTTTTGCAACACCAAACATGTTCATGTTAAGATGTGTTCATGTCCAGCACGGCAGCACATGTCCTGGGCTCACCAGGCTCACCAGCAGGCTCACCTGGCTCACCGGCTCAGTGGTGTGGCTGGGATTGTTTTGACACCACGAGGACATGGCCCTGCATGGCACTGTTACATGATGGAATATTGCTATCATTAGATGTAAATGTTATCACTGTTATCATCTAATCATATACTGTTTATCATACCATGGCACTGTTTATCATCTAGTTAAATATCATTAGATGATAAACTGCTATGATTCAAGTATTCCAGTAGTAAGACTGCTATTGGTTCGGTTCGAAGGACCAAGCTTTGCCATGGCACCTGGCTATCTGCACAGCATGTCATGTGCTGGTCTGTGGAGATAACTGTTGCAGCAGCTTCTGCGGAAAGCATCTTTTTCCTGGGCTTGTTGTGCCGCGGCCGGCTCTACGATCGTCCAAACGCATTACTGATCTTGCCCCTGTTGATCCAAGAGTGGCTGCAAGTGATTTGGCGGCTAGAACTCCTTCATGATGATGGTGATGGTGGTGATGGTGGTGATGGTGGTGATGATGATGATGATGATTTCTCGCTTTGCTATGACAGGTGGTGTTCTTGTCCTTTCCAACCCTTCAATTTTCACCATCAATGAGTACGTGGTTCCAAACTCACTTAACTATCTATGAAGCAATAAGGCAGCAATAAACACTGCTGAGGTGATTCTATGGCAACACCTGGGCAGTTCCGCCACGCAGTGTGACGCCACCAACCGCCAGGTGTCCAGCTGGGTGACATACGTGGTGTGTGGGGTGCCACCCTGGATCTCACTGCAACCCTTGATGCTGGGAGACGTGCGCCCTGAGTACCGGCTGATGGCATGGAGCTTTCTATGCATGGCATGTCTCTGTGGATCTGCGGGTGTTTTGGTGGAACTGCTGGGGCAAATGGGCTGGAGGACTAGTCATTGTACTTACTTGGGACCATGGAGACACCAGATTTGGCCTGTGTTGAACATGCAGTACGACCTCCTACCAGGTTGGCAGGGCGGTGTTTTTGGAAGATTTCTATCTGCTGGGAACCTACTTCTCTATATGGCTGCCAGCTTTGGGGGCTTCTTAACCTCGCGGCCTTCGTATGTCTTGCCCTTGTTGGCCGCGGTCGGGCTCAATGCTCAGCTGCTGATCCTGTTCCTGGGCCCCGAGTGGGGCTCCTTCTGGTGTTTCCAGGCCTCACTGCTGAGCCTGGTGGCGTTTCTGGAGCCACAGCTCTTCAAGGCCCTGGGGGAGTTCAATGCCTTCGCCCCACCCAGGGCTTCCAGCTCTCAACCTGTAGAAGCGGGCACCAAGCTGGGGGCCGCAGAGGAGGAGTTGGATGTGCTGGTGGCATAAGGCACAAGATGAAGATACTGGTGACCTGGATGACAGGTGGTATTGAGCATGCTCATGGAGGCTTGCCACCTGGCCATGGGGCAGAAATGGGGGGTACCATGAACGCGTGCGGCAGCCCAGATTGGTCGAGGTTGGTGGATCCACCATCTGAATCCACTGGGGAACAACTCCCAGAAGTGGTTCCCCAATCTTTTTTTTTGGATGGTAAAATTCATTATGTCCTTGATTTCTTCCCCTTGAATGGAGATGAGCCAAAACCTATACTGTCATATTTAGGGGATGAACATCAATCAATCCCAGCTATTTCGGCCCAGCTATTTCGGTGACTGCGGGCTGCTTCACCTTCAGTCCCAAGGTGCTTACCATCATCTCCTCCATTTGCGCAGTCAGGGTCCCAGCGACGGACCACACTTCACCCATCGCCAAACGGGATTTCGGATTTTGCGAAATGGAGATCTTCACAAAATCTGGGGTATTAACTCGCAACAATTTCAACTCAACAGTAGTTTCTACATGTTTCTACATTCTACACTTTCTAGTTTTTTTGGGACTTGAAGTATGCCCGGAATTGACGATGGAAATGACCCTTCGTCCGCCGCTGAGGACGCGTTGGATCAGGTGACTCACCTTTCCTCTCTCATTTTTCGGCCGATTTCATTGGCCTACTATCAGTGCCTTGGAGTTTTTTGTTGGAGAAATTAACAACCCCAAAGATATTTTGAGGAAACTGACTGGATGGGTAGTTGAGTGAGTTACTCAATCTCTTGTTTGAAATGAGGCTATTCCCAACAGCAGCGCTAGGTCTAGGTTTCAATTTCTGGGTCTGGGTCAACACTTGAAGGACCTTCATAGACTGCCATATTTTTGTGTGTTCAGCATCCAGTTTTGACCCCTCATAGGTACCATGACGGGCCATGAGGGTCCTGATCCTAAGTTGCTCACAATCACTGTGTTGAACTGGTAGATGGTGGTGGTGATTAAGGTATTCTAGCGCCCCCACGAAAAGAACTAGGAGCAGAGCCCATTGAAGGTGGAACAGAATGGACAACTGGGGTTGGCGATGTACTGATCAGGTTCTCCCACCAGCTATCCACCTGGGACGTCATTAAATCATGATGGTGCATAGACTCACTTCTAAGGCACTGTCGAGTTGTAGCACCTTGGCCCCACGGGAGAGATTGTGGGGAGGTATGGTTCGATTGCAGAGGCATCAATGGATCAACCGCTCGGAAGTCATGACAGCATGCATTCCTCATAAACCTGGCTTTGAAACAACCAGCTTTCTCATCTGACGGCAAAGGACAATTCCCCATTTTTGTGTAACCTGGTAACCCCTCAAGAGGTCAAATACTCATTCCATTTTCTTGGAGCTTGCTATAGATACTGTAGAATCTTCGATTGCCATCGAGATGGGCCCTAAAGACACCAAAATATGACCAGTCGTGGCCAGAACGCAGGGAAAAGAATGACATGAGTGTGTCTGAAATCTTAAAGTGCGGCATATACTCCTAAATGGGTCATTCTAGCGGAATGAATATTCTAGCGGCAAGCGTTGGTGACTTTATCAGGTCATTTCAGCTTCATGTGGCCTTTGGTCACTGCTCTGGGCTGCATGGTTGCACTGTGACTGTGAGGCTGAAATAATCTTATATGATTCTTCATTATTGATTGTTGGTTGTATTTCCTACATTTTGGTGGTTGCTCATAGCAAGTACTTTCAAAAAGTCTGCAAATGGGATCGCTCAGGGTTGTGGCAGGAGGATGTTTGGGGAATCCGGGAAACTGCACTTTGACCACATACCCAATATCGGTAATACTGATACTGTAATAGATTCCTAAATTTCAGTGATTTTGGATTTTGTCACACTTTTTTTTTGGAATGGGTAGCAGCAGCTCTTTGTCGAATTGTGCTGAGGGGAAGACACCCAAGAACCCATGGGTAAAAAAGTGGTGAGGTGGGGATGATGATTCCATTGGACAGTACACAGTAGCCTCATCTTTTTCCCACCATTTTCACATCTTGCACCTTGAAGATAAGAGTTCTGAGAGATCATGTATGATCCTCCTTGCTAATGATAAAAATGGACCCAACTTCCCTACGAAGCAGCGATGTGCTGAGGACAACATCGTCTTTCCCTTCGTGGTATACTGGGCAGCCCGGTGGCACTTCAGCTCGGTGTCGATTGAAGATGGTCAGAGACTCACCCAACATGTTTCATGGGATGGATGAGCATGTTACCCATGTACCAGATTGGCGATGATATACCCACTAGAAAAATCCCATGTTTTTTTTTTTTCCATTACCCAAAAAAAGTCGCTTAAATCTCGCAGACTAGACATATGGTTCATCTCCTGAATGGATGGTGGAGATACTATCCCGCATAGTGAGGTTAAATGGTACACGAATTCCTACTGACAGCAAGACTTGCAATCATTATTAATGTGTATATATATACACATAGTACATATAGATATATATATGTAATATCATTATGTGTCACATCAATATTTTGTTTTACATGACCACAATACTTGGGCACTTGACGAATACACATATGTATATGTATATACAGACACATAAACAACACTCTGTGTATATGTGTATATATATATATCTGTTTTTACTTTATTTTACATGCTGGATGTTTTTTGAAGATACAATGTATAATGTTGAAATCAAACATCCAGACTGCACGTCATGTGATGTATGTATTTATGTATAAACATATATATGTATATATATACATATAATATGTATGCATATACACACAAACAAACTATATGTAGCATAGCATACCTTTTGCATACATATGACACAGACATATGTGTATGTACATATAGATATAATATATGAACATCCATCCATCCATCCATCCATCCATACATCCATGCATATAGATAGATAGAGATAGAGATAGAGATAGAGACAGAGACAGAGACAGAGACAGAGACAGAGATAGAGATAGAGAAAGAAAGAAAGAAAGAAAGAAAGAAAGAACGAAAGAAAGAAAGAAAGAACGAAAGAAAGAAAGAAAGAAAGAAAGAAAGAAAGCAAGAAAGAAAGAAAGAAAGAAAGAAAGGAACAAACGTATCCACTTTTTTTGCGGAAAAAAAGTTTTTTTGGCTACGTTAGCTGCTGTGAACATAGGCTATGATAAGTGCCCTATACTTGAGACATGTTAGTTGAAAATCCATAATGGACATGTTAGTGGAAAAGTTGTCCCCCCCTCTGGGGGTTCCCGGGAAACTGCCAGAAGACTACCGCCCCGGACGCCCCAGCATCCTTATTTCCAGACCCCAATAGGGCTCAAATCAAAGATAGATAGATGCATGCACATACACATATACATATATGTATATGTATATATATATATATTCAACAATCACAATGTCGACATGGTAAGATGGACTTGTTCGGTTACCCTTTCAGTCCGTCGCTTTGAGGCCATGTCTCTACCAGCTGCACCTCGAGGCCGTTGCTTAATGCGGTTTATTCACATGGGGCCCATGTGGTGTCATGTCACATCGTGTCACATCCATGTTTTGGGGTCAATGATTTCGATCCATGGCCAAATACCGCACCGAGCAAAACAAGGAAGGATCTGCAACGTGAGGTGTATCCTCTGCTTCATTTCAGTACGTTCTCAATTCTACTGCAATCCAAAGAGATCAAGTAGTCATTGGATCTGCGGTGGAACAAACCATGCCACTTGCCAAGTCAATTTTTGTCCGATTTCCGATTCTCTTTGGCCCAAACAAAAACACTTGACAGTGGGGGGAGTTTCGTGTGTGTCGGTGCCAGTCTCCCAATTTTTTCGTTTGGATCCCCGGGAAAAACCGGGCGTGGACAACCACGACACCATGGATCCCTATGACGCCCCCGTCTGCGGCGACAACGACTGCATCCTTGACCTCCCTGGGGCGGAGGAAGTGGCCTCAAGCGGTACAGCTACTGCAAGGGATCCGGCAGGAAGCTTTGGACGCTTGGATTTTCACTCCATGGGAATCCCTACCACCTGGTAAGGGGATATGATCCCCCCACAAACTGAAAATTATGGACTTGGCATAGTTGATTTGCAATGGTTGGGAATACAGATGAGAATATGCTATGTTTTTCTTCATTTATTTTGCGAGTGTCGTTGACTGGAAATGCATATATCAACTTTGGGACTACAAACATGGCAACCACCATCATCAATAAGAATTCATTTGCCACTTACATTACCAGAGCAGACGGTTGGTCGGGAACTGTGTCCGGGATATATCCCAGATGACTTGATCATTTTTCTCGAAGACTGAACTCACCCTACCTGGGTTACCTGCAACAACCAGGTCTCAACGAAGAATAACCAACAACCAGATCCAAGATCCAAAATGATTTTCCTGGTGAACATCAAGGGATTTCTGCCGAGTTATGATCTTCTCCAAAAGGGTCTATTTCATGTTCCAGAAGTTGGTGGAGAATGCTCAACTCATGTCCATCTTCATGTCCATCTCCCAGGAAGTCAACGTGGTCCACTGCAACGCAGCCATCAACAGCTGCATCCTTTGCTGGTTGCAGGCCGCAGAACTGCTGGGCACCTGGTGTTCTCGCGGGCAACGGATGGATGTCATCAGCTGCAACACGATGACCACGGCACTGGAGAAGGGGTCCTTATGGCAGGCCGCCTGGAAGCTGCTGAGCCAGGTGGGGTTACTGGATTTTCACCTGGCTGTTGGGCTGTTGGAGGTACCATTGTAGTACCAAATTGTCACATTAGCCAAAACATGGGATGAAGAAACATATGTGAATACCAAACATCCACCAATGTTCCGTATGTTACTGCCATTATACGTGCCCCGGTAAAAACTTGGGTAGCCTCAAGGCTCAAGCTTCCTCGAAGCGAGGTGGGAGGGGTGGCGTGGCGCCCCACCAATTGAGCCATGGAGTTGACTTCTGGGCCATTCTTCCAAATGATGAAGTACCTCACTCCGTCGCCTGTTGCGTGCCCATGCCATTACCGAGTGACTTGCATCTTGACTGACTTCGAAGTTGTTTCGATGAGCACGTCCTGTGTCTTCTTGGCTTGCCGTGTGGATTCTCGCCACAGCTTGGTTCGGGACCAATTTAGGTCACGTTGGTTGACACGTGGAAGGTGCCCTCACGATGTGACAGACTTGCTGATGGCCACCATGGACCAGCGGTCGTGTGCTGTTGAAGGTTGCAAATCCGTGATTTGTCTTCAGGCATTTGTCTTTGCTGACCTGCTGGATGTGTCCTCTGATGGAGGTGGTGTGATGCCGGCCCCAGAATGTCGCACAGGTCGTGACGATGGCTTGCACCAGGTCATTGGACTTTACTGCGGTGGTTTCTCGGGGGGTGGAGCCATGCCGCGAGATTGTTGCCAGGGTTGGAGTTTCCCATCTTCACTTGTCTTGCCGCGGATGTTGACCATGAACGCGTGTTAGCTTTCCACAAGACTTTTGGTGACACCTTGATGGCTCCTAGCTCTTACAGAACAAAGAAAATCCGCCAAAGAGGAAAACGGTAGAGAAGAGATGAACTCATGACAGGTAATGTGTTCCCAGCTTGACTTGTGGCTTGACCCAGCATGTGGCTTTGCCCGTTGTCGTCCTTACGGCGTGCTTTGCTTGTGTCATCTTGACGCGGCCCTGAGACCAATGAAAATTTCCCAAATTTGAGGTGTCGTTGACCTCCTTTGCTTACCACGCGTTTTTGCAGAGTGCTTGCCTTGGCCGTGTGTCAACCGCTTGCAGTTGTGCTTGGCTTGATCCGTGTTGTACAGTTTCATGGTCCACCCTCTCTTTCATTCTCGGACTACCCTTCTGACACCTCGTGCCCCCCTTAACCCGGGAAGGGGCGTTGGTGCTGCGACTTCGCTCGCGCAGGATTCCGTCAAAACTTGGGTAAATTGCCCATGTTGCTGGAGGGTCATCACTCCATTGATAGGGATTTATGTTTCCATTGGACGGATTTCCACTCTGGGATGGATGACCATACCACGAACGCCATGTTTTGACCATGGCCCCGCCGTGCTCGGAGGTTCCAGTGGTTACCCTGCAGCCCGACGCGGCTGGCTACAACTCCGCCAGTGCTGCGGTGGGAATGGTGCGGCGCTGGGAGGGCAGCGTGGCTCGGAGGAGTTGGGCCATTGGGGCGGCTACAAAAAATGGAGGATTTGAATGGAAAATGGGAGAAAAGAACACCAACATGGGTTGATTTCTTGGGTCGAGACATTTCTGAGTGCCCAATGAGTTGACCCACACCGTTTTTCTTTTTTTTTAAAAGATTTTTGCAATGTTTTCAAGTTGTTTTATTGGAAACTGGCGCCCAGAATCGACCGAAATTGGGAAGAATGATCCAGGATTTCAGCTCTATTTCTGGAAGAAAAACCAACCAAAAATGGGAGTGCAATGGTTGGAAACATGCACAATCATTGAGAATCTTCAGGGTTTTCACTTTGCCGAACAGAAGGGTCCACATTTGTGGATCGTGGAGAACTCGCTAAGATCACCGCGAACAGGTGGAGCTTCTGGGGCACATGCAGCAGGGAAGAGTTGAAAGCACCGTCATCAGCCATGCAGCTGTCCTCAGTGCCTGTGAAGATTGTTGGACCATAGCTTTGGACTCCTTGCAGCTTATGAGAAATAGGTTCTTTGATGGCACAACCATTTTTTTGGGGTTCATTTAAGTTTGTTGATCTTGCAAGGAACACAGCACAGTTTCTTTGGTTGAAGTTCGGCCTATTGCTCAAGGATTCAAGATATGTACGAAAAACTGTCAGAAAAGTATGTGGAGCATTGGCAATTGAGGAGATTGTCCTTGTATTTGGAGGGGACTGCTAGCTCTGGGAAAGGTTACACCAGATGATCTGCAGAGCGGTCAGTGACCCCACATGACTTTGCTCGAAGGACTAGGGTATTCCATGTTGTTCCACAAGAAGTCAGCACAAGCCTCCTCCCTAAGCTTAGGGCCAACGCTGAAACGTAATTTCATGCCATCTTTGGCGACGGTCCCATGGTTTCAAGGACACCCTTCTGAACAGATCTATCATGTTATTCGGATGTGACGCTGATGGTGCTGGTTACATGGCTATATCTGAAATCATTCAGCCAAGTATTTGGTCATTTCCCTTTGCCCTCTTGAAACCCTGGTGAGGTTCATCTCTCCCAACTTGATCCACTACAATTCCATCACCAGCACTTCGGGTAGCTCCAGCAGTTGGCAGATCACACTCCAACTATTGGCCTCCACGCGCTCGGGCCCCGACACCATCGGCTTCAATGCGGGCATCAGCGGCGTTGCGATTGCGGCCGCGTGGCGACAGGTGGCCGAACTCCTAACAGTGATGAAGGGATGTGGCATTCAACAGGCTGGGGGTGATTGGAGGGTGGGATTGAGGCTCAATCAAATCTAGTGATATTAGACAACAAGATACAAGGAAAATGGATAGATCACATAACTGATGGTAGATTTATAATAATTCGGATGCCTGAATATTGTATCTAGACAATAATTCAATGGTTTCCTCACATGAAGGGGCCGCAGATCCAGGTGCAAAACGAGGAGCAGTGCTCAACTGCATCACAGTGTCATCTTTGGGTGATCTTGTAGCGAATTGCAACATTTCCTTTGTTGACTGTTTCGAACTTTGTTATTAACAGTGATTGATAATTGCAACATTTCCTCCGATGAACAACTTGATAATTTATGATGATAATAGCGTCTTGTGGGCTGCTTTCAGTTTATTCAGTTTACCAATACCCTTAGGTGATCTGGCAAAAATGTCACTTGTAGCTCCTCCCGTCCCACCAATTCGGTCGCAACTTATCGCCCTTGACTGGTACCAGAAATATACAGAAATGAAAACCCGAGGCTGAAAGATCATTGAAACATGTGGGAGATGATACCAAGGACGGTGTTTTCGTGTTTTCCACATATGGATGGTCCAAACTTTCATAATTGCTTGGCAAATTGGAGGAACACCCAATTAGAACGGACAAAGCGATTCGTTTTCTTTACCGTAAACTTTCTCTAAAACAGCGACCCATACTTGTTGGTGTTGGTGAAAAGTCTGCTCTCGAGATTTGCTGGTGAATTTCCCAGATATTGGGCGACAGGCCACCAAAACAATTTGTCTTCAATCAAGATCATTGGCGCAACAAAAATCCGTCTGACATTTTGTTTGGTTCAACTGGTTCAACCAAAAAAGATCCCTTCACCATGGCCTCGAGAGCGAAGCTTTCAGGACGTGATCTCCTTCAACGCGGCCATCACTGCGGAGGACCCCTTGGCGCCGTGGCGGAGAGCCGCGGAGCTGCTGCGCAGGCTCAGGGCCTGCGGTGCCGCGGCAGGAGGATGGGATCATTTCCATGGGATTTCCATGGATTTCATGGAGGATTTTCTCAGTTGAGGATTTAAAAGCATGAATCATTGATATCATTGGGGATTTGATAGTGCTTTATAACATTTATAACCAATCATGAAAAGTTGGAGATGAAGCCATTGGGGGATGGTCATCCAGGAATAGGGGAGAATATACGCATGTGCCGCATGAGGCATGAGGGATTCCGAAGAATGGTGGGATGACCATAAGCCATAACCATGTTTTGACCATGGCACATAGGAATGGGACGGATGACATGCATATGTCATTTTTTCATATTTTTTTCGATATGATGGGCATTCATCCCTACTCAAAAAAAAATTCTTTCTGTGCTAGACTGCTAGAATAGATGATTTGGTGTAATTTGTTGATGAATGAACGATGGTTGGCGGCGCCCCAGCAATGATACCCAGAGATCAACAGATTTTCATTAGGATTCCCTCCATTGTTTGGGTGGAAATCTTGAACGGGGCTAATATCAACCTCATGGTCGCGAACCTAACCTTTGGCACTGCATCCTCAATCTTTCCTCGTGTGCCGTCCTCATTTGCACCCTGAGGATGGTTGCTCTTATCCCAATTTGTCTTGGTAGTCTCCATTTTGCATCCCTGTTTGTCAGATACCCCATATGTCCATTCCTAGAATTGGATGACACGAACATTTGCGAGAATGCCACTAACATTTATATACTTTGAAAACCCATTGTTTCCTGGTAGAGTTTCCCTAGAATACCAGAAAATACAAGAAAACCAACCCTTCAAAATCCACATAAAAACAGTTCTTTTCCATCCTTGAGGGTAGGTGGATGACCCCCCCAAAAAAATCCAAGGTTTGCGCTGCACCTTGGTGTCCTTGAACTCGGCTTTGAGCTGCGGCAACGCCTGGCTTCAGGCCATGAGTCACCTCTCAGGCAGCTCCACTTGGCAGTTTTTGTGGTTCCTAGTTTTTTTGAGCCGTTTGTAGTAAACCCCAAACAGATAGACACGGATAGACAAATTAAAATCCTGGTGAAATGAAGGTAAATTTACCTTTTTCCATCATTTTGGGGGTTGCTATATATACCCAGAAGTGGAGGATTTGCTGATTTGCAAATGAAGATGGGGATTCAAGCAATTGAAAGTGGTGATCGGATTCCATCAGCACTAGCGAGGGATGATGCGTACAAAACAGATAAAACCGGACAACCGACATGGCTGGGTCGTGTGCAACAAGCTGGCGTTTCAACAAGCCATCACTTGCAGATGATGGATTTGTCTGAAAATAGGGTACCCCTAAATGAATTAATGATCATTTTCCCACGACTAGGGGTATAATTACACCATTTTCAAACCCACCAAATGGGGTATGGGGTATGTATGTGATCAAGATATAATTTTGTTTTAGATCAACCAGAGGTAGAGACCCCTCAAAGGGCCTTCTCTAGGTATGTTGAGCTCAAAGCTCTTGGTGGATAGCATCAGCTTCAATTCGGCCATGTCTGCAGCAAGCAACCACGATGGCATCTCCCAGCCCTGGCGGGTGGCCATGAGCCTTTTCAAGGACCAGTGGATGGGCGATGGCCAAACACCTGGGATTTTCTGTAAAGGATTGCCTGGATTTGCTGAAGGCAAGCCTTCATTTCCTACCGGGTACTCTGGGAATCTCCTGGGAACATTTTTTCATTTTTGGGACCTCCATCAATAACTGCTATGGTCATGGTTTACTGTGTATCTGAATATGGAATCCCTCAGTCATGATGGGACCACATTGGGCGTCTTGACCATGATGCCCCTCTGGTGGAAATGGAGAAGCCAATCTCAGTCTATTTCGAACCGCAGAAATATTTTTTGATCTTTGAATAACTCCAGGATGATGATGATGATGATGATGTTTTTTTTGCACTTCCTGGTACTCTATCTTCCAGCCACGATTTGGGGCCCCAGCACCTCGTCAGAGGACTTCCAGTCCTCCAAGTTACGCTGCTCCGTGGTGACATTTGGTGCCGCGCTGAGTGGTGAACTAATGGAAACGCCAATGCCAGATGCGTGGCCCCAGGGCCTATGGTTGTTGCGCGCTATGACCTGGCAACTGCTGAGACCCAGCATGGAAGCCTGGACCTGGTGGTTCTTTAATGACTGTAGGTCCTAGTAGGTTGTAGGTTGGGTTGAAGTTGGCATTTTTGTTTTTTTTTGCCTAGCTCGCCTCGTTGTCGTCCTTGTCGTTCTGGTTGTTTGAGTTTCTTGTCCTCCCGAGGAGGCTCAGAACAGTGTCATGTCGGTGCTGGCCAATCTGGGCCTATGGCGCCATGTCATTGAGATTCTGTTGCCTGGTTGCATGCTTGGGGGTGCATCCCAGAAATCGCAAGCGCTTAATATTTGTTACTGGCCCATTTATTATAACTGGCGTGGCGCTTATATATAAAGCTGGGTTATAGTACAGTTTATTACTCATTTACTAGCTGGAATGCACAGCCAAAGGTGTAGGTGCGATGGCTGTCTACTGCCAACAGGCGGTTAGCGGCTATTGGGAGTTGTAAGAGATCCAAATAAAGTTGGGGATGTCTTGGTTTGTCTTTCTGGCACTTAGAGACCGCAAGAAACTTGGCACAAACTGATCAGGGAAGTCGTGTAGAACTCTTGGGTATATCATGCATAGGCTGTGAGTCAAGAGATGCTGTGTTTTGGATCCACAAATTTGCTGGAGGCCCTACTTGTACAAAAATCCATCTCGCAGATTCAAAAACCATTGCCTTTCTTGTCAACCGGATCAACCAATTCAATTTCCCATGTTTGTTGGCTAAATCCACCTTCTTTGTCGCCGAAATCCTGAATTAATTGATGGTTGGACAAGGTTTTAATCGTCCCGGATCTCCAGTTTCGCCATGCCAAAGTTGTAGATGATTCACCAACATTTTGGCCAACATTTTCCATGTTCTATAGATTCTATGTCCATCTCACATATTTTTTTGGGGGTAGAACCTGGGAGGGACCTGGCCATGGCAGCCTTAGATTCCCAGAGACCTTCGCTGGCGCCGCGCTCCCTGCGCTCCGCGGCTTCGGGGCAGCGATGGAGGCCTTCGGCAAGGCATTGCGCTGGCGGCGAGGGATGGAGCTGGTGGGGCAGATGAGGCTGGTGCAGGTGGGATGGGAGGCGTTTTGGGCTGGTCCAAAAATTTCGTGATTTCACTGGTCCATTTTGATGGTGATTTGAATGGGACAACCATTTTTTTGATGGTGATTTTAATGGGAATTTCCAGAGGTTGCTGTGGCAATCCAACATGGCAAAATAGGGGCCTTTTGGCCAGTCTGTTTTCCCAATGTTTTCAGGCCATTTGGGGGAATGTTCTATCTTTGTAATTTCCCCGCATCTTGGCAAAAGATATTTTTAGGTACTGGTTATGATCCCAGGTACCTGTTTGTTTGAAAATAGAGTACCGCAAAATCTTATGGCTAAGAAAGTCATTTTACCCATGATTTCAGGGCTATTTGTTGGGCACACCGGATCCCAAAATTTTCTCCGACAAAGCCTCGTCGACGACGTCAAGTTGCTATAAGTTGGTTAGTTATATCCAATCAAATATCTCATGAATTCATGAATAGGCACATAATATCCTCATTCTTAATTGGTAAACAACACTTTTCCATGAGATCCCCATGATTTCCCCATGATACATCCCCATTCAACCGCCATTTTCTTCCCACTTTAGCGGGGCTTTAGTGGGCCAGTGAGGTCCTGCCCAACAGCGTGACCTTCCACGGCCTTGTGGCGTGTTGCCAGAAGCGCCTGAAATGGCACCAGGTGTTGCAGCTTCGGGCCGCCATGGAGCAAGGCGCGATCTTTCGGGGCAGGGCACCATGGGGGGTTGAAGCAAGAACAAACATGAAAAACCAATGGACCAATGGTTTTATTATGTTTTATTGCTTCAATGAAGCATCAAGACTGGGGGACCTTGGAGATCGGAACATCTTTGGGTGTTTCGAAAAACACTTGTGGGACTCAGAATCTGCCATGGGACGGTGGCAAATGGCTGCTTGAAATTAGCTTCGGCAAGCTTTGGAGGTCAGGCCCAATGGTTGTGACGTGTGGTGACTCTTCATTTCTCTATTTGTAGTTGCTTGAGGAAGAAAGGCTGTAGTTACTGTAGTTGCTGTAGTTGCTTGCTTGATTTCCAGCTAGCGCACCCCAAATCGAGCTGGAACAAACAGGCTCAAGTTGTATCTTTTTTCTACTCCAGATGCAGTATTTTTTCTCTCCAGTCCACGCCCTTTTCTCCAGGTGACATCGATTTGAATCAGATCGTGGTGAATGCAATGATTGCTGCAAGTGAGCAGGGAAATCTCTGTGCAGATGCACCAATTGGTGGCTCCGGTGAAAGAGATTCGCAACGCGACCATGAGACCATGCCATTTAGTGTGTGGACTATACCAATCTGATGATATCCCAGCATGAGGGTATGGGTATGTATGGGTTATATTGATCAACCCCCAAATGCGTGGCTTTAGAATAAAAACACCAATCAGTTGCGGGTACATAAAGGTACCCCAATATCACTCACTTGCCGTGCATCTTGCTTACGAGAGCATTTTTGTGTGAGTATGTATGTATATAAAATATACGTGTACACTGTATATATTATATTTATTACAGCAATCCCCAAAAATAAAGACATTTGCAAAATCCAAATCTCAAATTGCAAATTACTATATATATAATATAATATATATAATATAATATATAATATATAATATAATATATATATATACACAGAGCCATATCCCCCTTGACATATGTGATATCCCACAGCGCAGGTGGGCGCTCAAGCCAGCTCAAAGAGCTGTGCGAGGTGAAACGCAGCGCGCTGCGGAAGCGTCGTTGTTGAAATGGCCGGGGGAATCATGGGAAAATCATCAGAATGGGAAAAAAGGGGGATTTGGATTATAAGATGGCAACTTTAAGAGGGCCCCTTCCAAGTCCGGAACACTGTGGGACCTGGCATGTCGCCGAAGCTGCTATGCCAAGGTTCAAAAAGGTGCTGTGATACCACGGCCTTTGGTGCGGGGATGATCACATTGGGATAGCCCAATGGGTGTCTAATGATACCGGAAATTGGGATACATTCATTGTCAAAGCGAGTTGATCAAAATCACTGGTCTCAGGTATCTGAAGCTTCAAGATAGGCCAGAACTAGGACCTCAACTGGGTCATCAAGAATGATGGATCACATACGTTAGGGAAAGAGAAGATGCCTTCAAATCAAAGGCCACGAAGCCTTTTGTCAAATTGGTCATGGATGGACCACTGGTACCGCCACCAAATCCTGTGCGGCTCGTAGCTGTGGTGTTTCGGAGCGCTGCGCTTGCGCGCGAACACAGCCATGGGTCGCGTGCGAACGAAGACGGTGAAGAAGGCTGCACGGGTCATCGTGGAGAAGTACTATGCCAAATTGACCTTGGACTTCCAGAAGCTTGGCAAAGGGGGGTGTGGGTACCAACGGACCATGAAAATCGATTTTGGGCAAAGAAATGCCGCAGTGATCCCCATGGAGGCACCACCACTTGGGGCTACGGTGTCAGGGTTAAGGGGGCACCTGAGGGTCAACAAGAAGATCACGGAGGAGGTGGCCACCATCCCCTCCAAGCGCCTGCGCAACAAGATCGCAGGCTTCACCACGCACTTGATGAAGCGCATTGGCAAGGGACCTTTGGCTGAAAGATGTCAAAAAATGGCCCTAAGGGGGTGGACGGCAGGAGGTGTTTATGGTTCGTGCAAGTTGGTTTGTGTCCCCAACCAGGGTTTCTCCTAAACCAGCGCAAGACTGACCAGGTTTTCTGTTTGGACGGATATGCACCCTAGCATGAGCGTCCTTGTCTTTGCAGGTTCAATCCCCAGTTTTTTTTGCGGGTTCATGGTTCGAACCGAGGTCCCGTCCGTGGCATCTCCCTTAAGTTGCAGGCTGCCGGCTGATGCTCCAGAGTTTTTTTTTTCCGGCGGCAAGATGATCACATGATGGTGACCTCATCCCCAGGTTTTTGGCAAACTAAGGGGAAATCATCTCAAAAAATGGCATAGAGATGCATAGATCCACTTAGTCACCTTGGCTCAGGAAGAAGAGCGCGAGAGGCGCATGGAGTTTGTCCCTGATCGATCAGAGGTTGGGCCGCGCAGTGGACCAGTCCAGAATTGACGAATCGCGATCTCACCAAAGCACAGAACTGGTTGATCTTTTTTGGGGGATGTATCAAAGATGGGTTTGAATCAAATCTGGCATTTGTCATCAGATGTCATCAGATGTAATCAGATGTCATCAGATTGCCCAGATGGCCTCAGAAATCCACCCCAAATTCAAGTCGACTTGCCAACTGTCGATTGGTGGTTGTGGCATCTTGCCGGTGTTTTGCAGTGGTAATTGGGTCAATGGAATTGGAAGGGGGGGGGATCTAGTTGGAGGATCATCCTACGAATCGAAACAGTTCAGTAACTAACTAGTAACCATCTTGTGCTTGACAACCTTTCACAGGACACAGCTCATCATCTAGAAACTCTCCTGGGCTTAAGGTGATTCTGATCGTTCATGATTCTTTGGAATCATATTATCTATATCCATATCCTCATTGTTGAGTTTTTTTCAAACTCCATATCCTCATTGTTGAAGTTTTTTAAAATTATCCACCATTTTTTTTGGCATTCCCCCAAATCAACAAGCTTTTCGCAAGCGCCAGGTCAATACGGACTACATTCAGGTGGATGCTGACACCCGTGACATGCTGAAGGAGCGGTGCCGCCAGGGGCCATGGCTGGGGCTGTTGACCCACTGGGCACGTTCGTTATTTTTAGTGGAATAAAGGGACAGGGCATGATAAATTGTACATGATAGTGAGATACAATGATATATGATATATGATATATGATATATAATATATAATATATGATATAATATATGATATATGATATATGATATATGATATATGATACAATGATATATATATATATATGTATAACTTTATATTTCGGGATTACAGTAAATCTTAGTTGTCTTTCGTTGACTCTCTCTTTTTGAAACGGTTCCGTTTTTCTACGGTGGAGCGAGTTCGATGGCCTCACCTCCAGGAGATGGAGATGGATCGACTGCCCAACATCGCCACCTCCAACAGCACGTTGACCGGCATGTCCATGCGCCCCTTGGGTTGGGTGCTGATACACTGCCGTGTTGGTAAAGAACAATGGAACCATATGGAACCATGGAAGGATGCGATTTGCGAGTAATGAACGATGGGGTAAACAATGTGGATTTTCTCCCCATAGAGTTCTTCGACAAATCTTTTGTCTGGTGATAACAATCAATATCAAATCTTTCTCTCCTGCTGCTCTTGGTGGTCGGATGCCTCATCGTCCTTCTACCATGTGCATTTGGGATGGTTGCACTGAACTTGGCACGTTTGATCATATTGCATGGGAGTGTCCTCGTCGCTCTTGTAACATACCTAAACCTGCCAAGTTTTATCTTCTCAGTATGGTTGGGTCGTTACAGATCAAGATTGTGATATTGATGCTGTGCATGGTTGGTTGGTTCATGTGCAAGAGACTCTTTGGTCCCTTGTCCATCCATGATTTGCGCTTGTTTGTATCATGGTCCTAGTTACCTTGCGGTTTATTGGTCTTGCCCACTTGCACTCCCTTTGGGGTTGCCTTGCCTTCGTGGGCTTCCCCTCTGGGTTTGGCTTGGTTTGTTTGGGTCTTTGCCCCTTGGTTTCCTTTTTCCGGTGTTGGTTGGTTTTTCGCTGGCTGCTTGCACCTTTGGTGTGGTCTGGGCGCCTTGGCCTCCCGATGCCATGGAGTCGTTTGTTCCCGTTGGGCTTTTGCCCTGGGTGTTCATGGCGTGCTTTTGTGGTGGGCTGCTGCGGCTGCTGCTGTGGCTGCCCCCTCGCTCTGCACTGTCTATTTTGGGGCAGTTCAGATCAAAGTTCACACATCTATATACACAGTAAATATATATATATATGCATATATTTTGCCAGAGAGCAATTTGATTGGGGTCGCGACTTTGGTGGTAGCCCAAAAGTTTTATGGCTGAACAAGTTTTATGGCTCAACCTCATCCGAGCCAACGAGAAGTATGTTTTCTGGGGATGGACCTGGCCCTTGGCTTCGAAACTTCTCCGAGGAAAGTAAGGAGAACCGAGAACGACATCACAGTGGCTGGCACAGAAAAAAAACCGCCGTTTTTGCAGCTGGACTGCCTTGTACCAAGCAGCCCACTTGCCAAACAATGATGGTTTTAAGATTGAGCATGGAATAGATTCTCTCGGTCCCCAGGTTCCGGATTTTTGAACCAAACTATATGCCATCAATTTTAAAGTGAGTCCATGTGAGTATGAATGATTTGCCAGACCTGTGGCCAGAAGACCATTACAGGATTTCCCAGCTCCCTACAACTTTACGATCCGCAAAAAGTATGATCTGCAGGATATTACTGTATATGTGCAGTGTTCAAACCGGAAGTGATTTTCCCGGTCATCCACCCAGTGGAGTACCAATCCCTAATGATGATTGGATGACCATGTTTTGATCATAGCGCATATGGGCGATGGCAATGGGATGGGTCAAACATGGACAAACCGCTTCAGCGGGCAACCACGTGGTACCTGGCTTCAGCGGGTGCTCGCGGCGAACCTTTCGTGAACCGAAGTCGTGTCTAGCCATGGGTCGTGTCCGAACCAAGACGGTGAAGAAGGCGTGGTGTTGGATCCAGCCGATCCAGCTGGATCCAATATTCACAACAGGAGTTTGATCTAGAAATGCTTGAACTTTAAGTTCAATGGAAGCATCTTGGAGAAACCATTCTGACATATTCTGAATTCCTTTTGAACGGATAGCTGCAGGCTGCCCGCGTGATCGTGGAGAAGTACTACGGCAAACTGACCCTGGACTTCCAGTCCCTTGGACCATCCGGAGTCGATGGGCTTTGGGTCTTTGGGTCAACGGGTGGCACTGAGTCAATACAAGCTTTCTTGCCATAGAATTGTCATGAAACAACCTAACTAAATCATCGGCTATGGAAGTTTCATCCAAATGCTCTACTCTACAATCTCTACTATTGTTACCAGTAGTTATTATAAAAATGGTTATTATAGCTATAACTGGCTATAACTATTATAACACCATTTTATCACCTTCAAAAATGGTTCAGAATTTGCCCACCACAACCCGGTGCCATCCGGTGCCGCTGGCAGGGTCAACAAGAAGATCACGGAGGAGGTGGCCACCATCCCCTCCAAGCGCCTGCGCAACAAGATCGCAGGCTTCACCACGCACTTGATGAAGCGCATTGGCAAGGGACCTTTGGCTGATGGGATGGGATAGGGCACGAATCTCATCTGAAAGTGAAAGGCTGGAATGGTTGCAACTTGGTATTCTTAGTGGCTGGGCTGAGAGTTTGGATGAGTTGTGTTGAGGTATGGATGTCTTCCTTGCAAGGAGGGCAGCAAGGAGATTGGATCATAGGCTATCATAGGTGCTAGTGGTTGTTGGGTCATTCGCAATTCTTGTTGGTTCGTTACATCTGGGTGTATCTGAAAATTTCGGGATTTTCCTGCTATATATATAATACACAGCAGCTTTGATAGGATAAACCAGTGGATTTAGGGGTACTTCCATTTCAATATTCAGAGAAATCCATTTACCCCAAAACATACGCACTTACCGACAGGGAAATATGTGGAAAATTATGGCTTAACCCATGGGATGGAATGGGGTTCCGATTTTTAGGCAAATCCACATTGATTTGATATGGTATATACTATTTATCTATCTATCTGTCCGTCTGCCTGTTTGTCTGTCTATCAACCAACCTATCTAATTATCTAATCTATCTATCAATCAATCAATCAAACAATCTATCTAGTTATCTATCAATCAATAAATCAGTCTAATCATCTAATTATCTAATTATTTAATCTATCAATCACTCATGTAATATATATATATATGTCTATCTATAAACCCACAAGATTATGGCTGACCCCCTTGTTTTCTTGAAGAAAAGCCGAATGGCATCCCGTCTAAGGACCTGTGCGTGGCATCAGCTTGAAGTTGCAGGAGGAGGAGCGAGAGCGACGCATGGAGTTCGTGCCGGATCGTTCCGAGGCGGACACGGGACCCCCAAAAGCCCGGGAAGCTGGGAAAATGATGGAGATTTTGGGTCGTTTATTAAAGACAACCCATCTCATATCATCTCACCATTTTGATGATTTTTTAAACAGATTTCCTTTCTTTTTGACCAGTTTCGAAGATGATATACCGTGATACACCACCATTTTTTGGGTGAAGATTGAAGATGATTTGAGAAACAGTTGGAATAAGAGGTGTGACACATGTCCTTGCTAGCAGATTGATCAGCCAAAACCAGGGGATCTGGACCCGACACAACTAGAATGCAGATAGCCACAAACAACAATGTAGCCAATGCGGATGCTGACACACAACAATTGTGGGTCTAGTCTCAGCCACCAAGATTTAGGGATGTTCAACAGCACGAATGGGACTGCTGGTTGGTGGTTTCAAATCTAGTTTCTATCTTTCTCATAGGTGGGATGATGATTGCACGTTGACTTTCCCTTTTTCAAGCGAGATAGCAAGCAACATGCAAAACAGATCATCTGCGAATCTTCCAATTGTTGGTCAATCTTTCCATGTCTTTCCATGACATTCCTATTGTTGTCCATTTTTTACAGGACAAATGACGCAACAAAAACTGGAGGATTCCCAGAAGCACAACGGGTGGATGTCACAGCCAGGTGAACACGGATTTCATCCAGGTGGATTCGGATACCCGCGACATGTTGAAGGAGCGATGCCTGGTTTTCAGAGCCAATTGGACTTTTTAGTGGTGCTTTAGATGTTTAGATGTTTAGACATTCCCATGGATTTCCCCTCAGAATTATAGATTGAATCAATCCCTGAGTGGGGCAAAGTGGCAAGCAGATCAAGCAGAGCAGGATGGCTAAGTCAGCGGATCATGGAATCATAGAATCAGTTGGGACTGAGGTTCCCAATTTTTGGTTGGTAAATAAGCACCATTTCAGTCTCAGCCTTCGGACTTACAGGTTGCGAATGGTTGCGAACTCTTCCCAGGGTTCGAATTCCAGGAGTTGGACATGGATCGTTTGCAGAACATCAGCGTCTCCAACACCACGCTGTCAGGCGCAGCGAGTCAACCTGGAGGTATTTTGGAACTGGTGGGCGAAAGAATTTGCGAATTGTGGTGATGTGAGGATCCGCAAAAAATACCTCTAGACTAGTTGTGGGGACTCACTGTAGTATCGTACTATTAATGCCTCTTTGGGGCCCAGTCTTGTTCGGGACTTCGACTGGGCAACTCATGGGATTTCCCCAGGTGCAACTCGTAGGAACTCATCATACGGGATCAATGTCCACAACACCAAAATCAACCCGAATTTTGAATCTTAGTCTAAGTAAAAATTCAATCTGAAACTAAATATGTATCCAAATCTAAATGTTTTTCTTAGCCCAAATCTAAATCCAGGTTCTAATTCAATCTAACCTAATGTAGCCTAAATCCAATTTAACTTAATCCTAATCGAATCTGATCTAATCTATTCTAATCCAATCTAATCTGGTCTAGTCTAATCCAATCGAATCTTTCTAATCTATTTATCCGATCGAACCTATCTATTTGTTCTAATCTGTCTAGTCTATCCTATTTATCTCATGTATCTAATCTATATGTTTTTTCCTTTCTGTCCTTTCTGTCCTTTCTGTCCTTTCTGTCCTTTCTGTCCTTTCTGTCCTTTCTGTCCTTTCTATCCTACCTATCTACCGATCCATCCATCTATCCATCTATCCATCTATCCATCTATCCATCTATCCATCTATCCATCTATCCATCTATCCATCTATCCATCTATCCATCTTATCTATCTATCTTATCTATCTTATCTATCTTATCTATCTTATCTATCTTACTATCTATCTATATATCTATCTATCTATCTATCTGCCTATCTATCCATCTATCTATCCCTTTATCTGTGTTCCTTTCCATTGAAAGTCAGGTAAAATGTCAGAATATATGTCCAATTGTATGTCTTGAAATGCCATGGTGGGGATCACTCGAAGTAAAGTAATTCAAATCTATCTAGCTATTGTTCTTTCGCCATTCGCTGTCGGTTTTTTCTTTCATTTGTTCAATCTCCATGTTTTTTCTACCTCTCAAGTTGTTTAGTCTTTCTGCATTTCTATCTTTCTACCTGTCTGCCTTTTTTGTCTTTCTATCTGTCATGTCTATCCACAATCACATTTTTTTTCTTCCATCGCTCAAACATTGTCAAAAGAAACTTGGACAATCTTGGACAAGATATTGTGCACTTGTTTGCTATTTCCGAGTTTTTTAGAGTCTTAATTGCGCTGTCAGAGAACAGCCTCAAGAATCAGAATATTTTTTTGGTTAACCTAACATGATCTCAGAGGCAGCCTTGATGCTACGCTGTAGAATGTTCACCTGCACTTGCACAGCGGGGTTCTCTACATTGTAGAATGTTCGCTTTACTTGCACGCATCCTTGCCACCATGTAAATATACAGAATGTTGATTGGCTCTTTTGCATATTCTTGATGGTACGCTGCAGGCTGTCCACGTAGTACGCATGCTTGATGTTACTCTTCACCTACACCTTCTTCCACACAGAGTTGATGCTTTGCTCCATGCTGTTCAAATTTCCTTTGCATAAGAACGCATGCTCCACGCTACATTACGGAATGTTCGCTTGCACCTGCGCTTACATCTTCTCGCGCACTCAGCCAATTGAGTGCACCCAGCGCACCCGTTGCACCCAGCGCACCCGGCGCACCCGGCGCACCTTTCGCACCCAGCGCACCCGGCTTATTTTTCGCACCCGGCGCACCCAGCGCACCCGTCGCACCTGGCGCACCTGGCACACCCAGCGCACCCACAGCGCACCCAGCGCACCCGGCGCACCCAGCGCAGTCAGCAATCTGATGTCACGGATTACCGTTGCGCTGCATATTTACAAAGGTTTCTCAGCCATCCAAGTGGAAAAACATGAGATTCGCTTTATTCTTGGGTTCAGCCCATTATGTAGATGTAGTTTTGAATTCGTTAACCAGTAGCACCTGAGGGCACCGACTAGCTCCAGGCATGCAGATGCGCCGTTAAGAGGCGGGCTTTGCCATCTGTGACATGTCCAGACTTGGTTCACCAGACTTGGTTCAAGGGATCCTGCAATGTTTGATGGTGCCAAACCCAGCCATTGGTCATTGCAGATGGTCGATGGAGATTTCTTGCTTCACAGGTTCCGAGAGAATAAGCCGCCGTGCAGATGTGAAAAAAACGACTGAGAACTTGCTGTCTTCGCGCTTGTATCGTTGGTCACGGCTGTAAGCAGCACAAAAAATATGCATCTAGATTTGGAAATGGATGAACAACTTTTGTTGGTTCGTGGTTTCAGCAGATATTTAGGGGTAAACATGGTGAAACCCAATTCTGTGCAGATGGGTGGAGCTTCGAACGAGTACCTTTGTGGTGTATTTTTTGTGGCTCCAGCGAAGCGTTGACGTCCCAAGTTTCGGCCATGGCCCGAGTATCCAGGTTCGGAATGAGATGAGAAATGGTCCAATCTGGCAAGGAATTCCTTATTTTGCATCATTTTCAATAGAAAATCATTTGCAATGACTAGTGGATATTACAAGATATTACAAGGGAACTTTGGAGAAAAGAGGGAATAGAAACCAAGAAGGTTTCAAGGGCGGTTGCCGTCAGTTTGGTCCTGCCAGGGACGCTGGTATGATGATCCCAACGGTTTGTAGTTTTGGCACCTTTTAGTTTTCTTTAATAATATGATTAATGTGTCAGATCCTCTCTGAAGATTGGCAGCTGCGGTATCGTGGTCCCTTCATCAGGGGTTGGCAGGGTCATGATGAGGTAGGTGTCCTTTTTCGCTTTGTAGCGCTTTAGAGAATTTGGCAACTTAGGGTCAAGTGTACCTGTCGTATGATATCATGTATGATTTGATACATGATCGAATATCTGATATAATTATACTGATATGACATCATATACCAAAATAGCTCAGCAGGATCCCAACAAAAGATGACCCCCTGGTGGTGGGGAAGTTTCGGCTCTGAACACTTCTCCCAGTGATTCGGTGGCAGGAAACTTTCCTCCAAACGTCGAGATTCCCGGGACTCCCTTGAGGTGGGCCTGGTGGGCCTGGTGTCCAGCCCTGGGGAAAGATGTTTAAACAAACGTTGGAAAACGAATAGCACTGATGCTATTTTATTAACCAGCCAACAAAAATTGGGGGCGGTCTGAACTAAAAAGCAGAAATTTGTGGATTTGATCAACGAACAATGGAGATTTTCCTTCAACGGGCCATACCCATCAGCAATCTTTGTACTGACAAACACGGGACTATAGGAGATGCTTCAAACTCGGGACCCATTTTCCTTGTTCATTGAGGTCGTTGTTACTTCAAACAGACTGCCTACAGTGCATCGCACATTCAGTGAACATGATCCATACTGCGTCTCCCAAAGGTGGGGATGGCAAAGTATGCGCTCGGAATATCAGTGGATCCCGTCCATTGCACTATGACCTTGCCGACTTCAGTAGGAGATTCCCGCAATGGGCCCTTGGGTGACAGCGAATCCCCAGCAATCTTCAGGTCTTGCGTCGAAGTGCTGGCAAGGTGCCATGGATATGAAGCCAACGGTTTTTGGACCTGCAACCAATGGGCTTGATCCACACTGACACCTCAAGCTGATTTCATCTGGATCAGCTTCAGAGATGCCACAAGTATCATTCAGAGCGATACCCTCTGGTAATTTAACATAGCTATTGAAAATCACCTTTTTTTAATGGGAAAACTCACTATAAATGGCCATTTTCAATAGCAAACTGTTAAATTACCAGAGGGTACTCATCATTCAGAGTCCTGTATTGATGTGAAGGCCTGATATCCTCCAGGGATGACCTGATACCCTCGCGCGCCCAGGGGTGTTGTTGCCCCAACTGCCGGCTGGAGAACGAATTTGCCAGGCGGCACCGCGCGCTTTGCGCAATGGGCCATGGTAGCTGCAGCCTGCTGCTTCGTAAGTTCATAAGTTATACTTGTAACCAGAAAATATCTCTGAGTTGTAGTTAGGGGGTATACACTTAGTATATAATAACCGTATATGATACACGAATCAATTGCAAACACTCTACGAAGTCCCAGGATCATCCAAGTGCAAAACAAGCGATCGAGCTAGGCGCAGATCGGACGCCCCAAGTCTGGCTGTGAAGGAGTACCTTGGTGGCGTGGCAGTTCCATCTCATTCCAGCTCCTTTTTTTGGGGATGTTTGATGTTTCTGCAGGGACATTTTCTTTTTTCAAGATATGAATTGTTATTTTTGGTAGGCATTTTCGATTTTGTTGGCTTACTTTCCAGTTTCTATAGTTTGTCTTTCAATTTTGGGATTGATACATGGCAATCAACCATCAACATTGCTTCTTTGGGACTCTGGACCTTCCCTGAATTGGGACCAATGCAGTGGCAGATCATTTGGCATTACCCGCTGGTAATTCAACATAGCTACGGAAAAGTCATCGTTTTCAACAGGCTCATCAACTATCATAACTGGGCCATTTTCCATAGCTGTGGTAGATGACTGGATGGTAGCATTCCGTCTCTCATGGTCGAAGGACCTGTGTTCGGTTCCACAGTGTTGCATGTTCTTAGCATGGCTTCTCCCACCTTGTAGAGAACCCCCATGATTGAATAGAGGGGCGGTCAAGGAGGTCCCAAGCATCAAGCTTGACCCCAACTCGAGCCATCCCAATTTCACCAGGCTGAAATGAGTTCTTACAGTATGGCTCACAAGTATTTCCCACCGTGGACGATACAACTATGAGCCAACCCCGATACCCTTATGTTGACTTCCACATGGCTATGGATGTTCATCCCATGTATGTTGTTTGTAGGTCATTCCCTTGGGTTCTTACTGTAATAGTTAAGGCCGGGTGTCTATTCGAGGTGGTCTCATCCATGTCCGGCAAATTTGGTGACCCTTACAGCACAACTTATGCCTCGATCTTCTGTTTTCGAAGGAAGTCTTGGGAAATTTCCCATGTGGATGTGGGTCAAAACCCTGTACCCCCAGTGAACCTCAAGGTTGATGGTCATCCCTTATACCAGATGATTAGTAGGTTTTGACCCATACCCATGTTTTCCCCAGAAGTCCCCATAATTTTCCCATGATCTTCCCCATTCATTGACCATCTCATCGAACCTCGTTAGACCAGCTCGCGAGGTTCGCTCCCCAGCTCCGCGTGCCCGATCTGGCCGGCCGTGAGGCAAGGGACTGAGATCAGCCGGCAAGCCAGCAAGGTCTTGGATGTTTGAATACATAATTAATTACATGATTTAACAGAGATATATTTATATAAATAAATATATAACATATTATATATATATATGGTATATATATAAATATCTATTTATAAACAGTGTGTATATATATATAGTCTAGGTCATCCAGTAGGCAGAGTTTGTCCCAAGCAAAACAGATAGCAGATGGGGTACCAATTTGGCTATGAATCAAAAAAAAACCTTTACTTCATAGTGCCAAATCTGCTTACTGGAAAGTGGGAAATCATGAACCCCCCTTTTTGAATTTCTGCTTACTGTAAATCTGGCTTGGAAGATGGCAAAAACGGAAAAAAATGCTATGGTTTACCATTTTTTCCCTTCTTTTGCTGGCAACCAATCAGCCACACATTTTCCTCCACATCCTCCCCATTTCTGTGAAATTCAGCAACTTTTGGTTCTCAAACCGAAAAAGAGAGAAAACATGCTGCAAGCAGGGGAACACGAGTCTTGAAACGCAATATAGAAGTTTCTTAGCTATTTCCAAGCCCTTACCAGCAAGCTGGCAGACAAACATTCTACTTCCTACAGGCCTTGAATTTCAGCACCTTTTCATGTTCAAATGAGTAAATAAGCGGAAACATGCCGTAAGTAGAAAAAAAGGTGCCTGGAAACTCAATATAAAGGTTTCTTAGCTACTTCCACGCCCTTACCAGCAAGAAGACAAAGATTCCACTTCCCTCAGTCTTTGAAATTCAGCACCTTCAAATGGGAAGACGCGAAGATAAAATTGCGTTTTGAAACTTATATAATATAGAAGTTTCGGCACCTTTTCAGTTTTAAATTGGTAAATACGAGAATAAGTAGGGTAAAACGCAATTTGAAAATGTATTGAGAGGTTTCTTAGCTATTTGCCCCAGAAAAATCAGCAGAATCACCATTCTACTTCCTACAGTCCTTGAATTTCAGCACCTTTTCAGTTTCAAATTGGTAGAAAGAAGGAAACATGCCGTAAGAGGAAAAAAAGGTGTCTGGAAACTGAATATAAAGGTTTCTTAGCTATATCCAGGCCCTTGCCAGCAAGAAGACAAACATTCCACCTCCCTCAGTGATTGAAATTCAGCACCTTCAAATGGGAAAACGCAGACGAAAAAATACGTTTTGAAAGTTAATATAGAAGTTTTTGAGCTGTTTCCAGGCCCCAACCAGTAAGCAGAATCACCATTCTGCTTACTACAGCCCTTGAAATTCGGCACCTTTGCATTTTCAAATGGGACAATACGAGGAGAAGTAGGCAATAAACCGCGTTTTGAACATTAATTTAGATGGGTCGTAGCTTTTTGCAGGCCCCAAGAAATCAGTAGAATCACCATTCTACTTCCTACAGTCCTTGAATTTCAGCGCCCCTGTGGTTTCCAAATGGGAAAATAAGAGAAAACCTGCCGTACGTAGAAAAAAAGGTGTCTGGAAACTCAATATAGAAGTTTCTTAGCTATTTCCAGGCGCCCACCAGTAAGCAGAATCAACATTCTGCTTACTACAGCCCTTGAAATTCGGCACCTTTGCATTTTCAAATGGGACAATACGAGGAGAAGTAGGCGATAAAAAGCGCTTTGAAAATTAACTTAGATGGTTCTTAGCTATTTGCAGGCCCCAAGAAATCAGTAGAATCACCATTCTACTTCCTACATTCCTTGAATTTCAGCGCCCCTGTGGTTTCCAAATGGGAAAATAAGAGAAAACCTGCCGTACGTAGAAAAAAGGTGTCTAGAAACTCAATATAGAGGTTTCTTAGCTATTTCAACGCCCTTACCAGCAAGAAGACAAAGATTCCACTTCCCTCAGTCCTTGACATTCAGCACCTTCAAATGGGAAAACGCAGAGGACAAAATACGTTTTGAAAATTATATAGAAGTTTTTGAGCTGTTTCCAGGCCCCAACCAGTAAGCAGAATCACCATTCTGCTTACTACAGCCCTTGAAATTCGGCACCTTTGCATTTTCGAATGGGACAATATGAGGAGAAGTAGGCAATAAACCGCGTTTTGAACATTAATTTAGATGGGCCGTAGCTTTTTGCAGGCCCCAAGAAATCAGCAGAATCACCATTCTACTTCCTACAGTCCTTGAATTTCAGCGCCTTGTGGTTTCCAAATGGGAAAATAAGAGAAACCAGGCGCCCACCAGTAAGCAGAATCACAATTCTGCTTCCTACAGCTTTTGAAATTTGGTTCCTTTTCGTTTTCAAATTGGAAAATAAGAGAAAACATGCTGCAAGTAGGGGAAATTGTATAAATGTATATGAGTGTGTGTGTGTGTGCGCCTTGGCCTTTCAATTTTTCTTACTCAAAACTAGACACTGCTGGATGTGTTTTTTATTGTGATCTTGGGCAATTGAGGCCATCAGGAACGCGAATGCAGTAAGCAGAATTAAGTAGATGGAAAATTATCCACCGGTTATCACGATATGATTTTCTGCTTACTGGGGGTGTCATTTGGCTCAAGTTCAGCACTCCGACCCAGAAGCCTCTGAATCAAAACCCCGAATATCACCCAAATTTAGCCAATTTCCATATGCAGTAAGCAGGAAAGTCTCTGCCTACTGGATGTCCTAGACTATATATATGGTATATATACATATGGTGTTGTATATATCGGGGAATATGCATATGTAAACAAAGAAATAAAGGAATACATAAATAAATGTATATATATATATATACATACACCCATGGTATTGCCACTAAAACACCATTAGGACATCCATGTGTGTTAATTACAGATGGGTATGAATCCACAATTATATATTAAAAAAAATGCATATGATTGTGCAGTTAGATACGATGTGTGTGTATCTATATCTATGTATATATATATATAAAATGTATATATATATATATATATAAAATGTATATATATATATATAAATATATATATATATACACACATTTTTGATGTGGAGATGTGGTACCCTCATTAATAGCCTTTTGCCCATCATAGCAGGTCACCTGTGACCACACTTCCGAGGCATCATCCCGGCAGGCGGTGCCAGTGGATAGGTGCCAGTGGGGCAAGGGGCAAAAATCATTGGCCACCAAAACGTTTTTTTTGGGCGGGGGGATTACATTAGATTGCTTTAACAATTCAGTCAGATTAATTTCTATGACCATGTGATGTTTGGGTTCGGTACCTAGGACGTTGATGGCAAGGAAGATAAGCGAATGGGACCGAACTGTGAAACCGACCCCATGTTCTGGAAAACCATTTGCAACATATTTGGTCCCTGCATGTCCCTGCAAATACTGTTTTCCTTCCATGTGGATCGCAGCAACTGGGATTTTCCATGTATATTTTTCGATGATGTATATATATATATAATATACATCTACTGTATGTGTATATATATATAATGTATTTAACTGGGGTAGAATATGGTTATTACCTGCTTGCTAGTTAAGATGCACCCTCAAGTCGCTGTTTTGTTTTTACTGATTTTCGGGCCCCGTTTCAAATCCTGACCATGGCTTTCATTGACTTCAAGCACTTTGGACATGGAGTAAACTTCGCCACAGGGATGTAACATGTTTTTTTGTTTTTAAATCTTACATCTTTGACCTACACGAAGGTTGAGAAAGTCATTTTCCACATTCTTTTTGCGGCCTTCCATGTATTGGGCTTTGATCCGACATTTTGGAGAAACCCCAATGGTTGCCCTCTGCGGTAGATGAATCATACCAATACTCATTTGCAGATAGTTGAAGAATCCCATCCAAAATAGAAGAAAAATCCAAAAGCGCTTCAGCTGTGCCAGGGAGCCGACCTGCTTCCCCTCAGGCGCATCCGAAGACCATGGGTTTACACGCCCCCAAATTGGATACATATTGGTCAATGTTGGTTATATATATATGAATATATGTGTATATATACGTATAATTATTCATATGCCATGCTATATCCATTGTATATCACAATATATTTATATCCCATTTCTATGAAACATTGGTATATTATTCCGTTAAAGATTGATTATATATATATATATACATATCTTTTTATATCCCATTATATATCCCAAATTTCCGGAAATTCTATAATTGGTTACCGGATTTTCCTTCAGTTTTCCGGCAGCACTAGGTGTTCACTTGCCGCCTGCGCCGGCCCCATCTGAGGTGCGTGCAACGGGATGTGGGGTTTTGGTCCATGGTGGTTGGGCGTTTCCTTTAGCCACTTCGATGCAGTTGTTTCAAGTGGGAAAGCATGAAACTCCATCTCTTTACCTTGGACATCTAGCCATTTTAGCCATTTTACCCTGGAAATCGAACAATTCTAGCCATTGAAGTGATATGTTTGGATCACAGTTTGGGCCAACAGTGACGAATTCATCATGGTCCAACCCCGTCGACCAGGAGGCTGTACCATTTTGCACCCGGTGGGGTTCCCAAGACACCAGCAGGACCCATTGAATTCATGTGGCTTTGCAGGGGACTCACGAGGTTTGGCATTTTTTGGGTGGAGATGATGACAAACACTGGGGCTTGGTGGTATCCAATACTATGATAATCAATTACTATAATATACATGGTGATGTCTGCAAATGCAATGTCATGAGCACCTGCTGGCAATTGGCTGATCGAAGGACATCAGCATGGGCAATGGCATCAAGGGCTGTCTTTGACTGCTGGTTGTTGAACTTTGGACCGATTATCCATTTAAAGTTCATATTTCCATATGGATCCATTTTCTGAAATCTCCAACAGTTTGTTTTATGTTTTTTTTCCCCATCAAATAGAGGGGGCTTAGATTTGCCATGGCCGAGGTTGACGACCCCTCGGGGCGGAGGCGACATAGTGAGCTCAGGCCGCTCCTTGCCCCCGCCTCCATTGCTACTGCTTCTACTGGAGAAGGTGCGATGGGAACAGGTAGGTTTCAGGTCTCGGCGTGTGAATCGGTTGTTTCCGAACGTACTTCTGTGCATCCCCTCAGCATGGTACTGGTTTGGCTAATCTGACATAAACCCCTATTGACATGTTCTTCGGCCCAAAGGAACGGCCTAGTGACCTGGTAGGTTCAAGAATTGGGTGGCCTTCTAAAAGCAGGATACTTTCACTGGAACCACGCACAAATTTGGGGTTTTCTCCTTTTCTGGATGCCTCCAGAAAATCTCCTCCCAGCCCGAAACTTCAGGAGGCGGCGAAGGAAATGGAGGCCATGGCGCTGCCGGTCCAAGCTGAATCACAAGAGGTTTGCGCCACCAGAGACCTGCCGAGAACCGGGATTCACGAAAGTTCCTACTGTATGGAATCTGACACTGGGACACTGGGTCGGTAAGAAAGAGGGAACATGTTTTTATGTGTTTTTTCCCGAATGCGTAGCAAGGGTTCCCGTTTCACTCTGGGGGTCTGGGGGTTGAGGGTGTGTTCGCTCGACGTTGCGTTCGCGAGCGCAACCGTTCGCAACCGTCCGCAACCGTCCGCGCGAGGACCATATGGCCGTGCCTATGGGAAGTTCTGCAGAGGTGGTCGTGTCGTTGCTTCGTTTCGCGTGGCAGGCGTGGCACTTCGTGACATTCAGACGTGTTCTGCAACGTGTCGAAAGTCGTTTTGCGTGGCAGGCGCAATACTTTTGCGACGTTTTCAGAAGATGTGTTGCAGTTTTCGTGGCAGGCGCAGCACTTTGGACGTGTCCATCGTCATTTTTCGTGGCAGGCGCAGCACTTTAGACGTGCCGTGTTGCGTGTTTTTTGCAAATCGCATTGGCAGGGCTGCGTCAAGTGGCGACAAGGTGCAAATTCCGTGGCAGTCGTGGCATTTTGTGCGATGTGCTGAAAATTGACGGAAGCCTCGCCCGAAACATTGATTTTGAGGTTGCAAATTTTCAGGTTCTAAGGAAAACTCGTAGGAAAACGTCGATTTTGAAGCTACAAAGTGTGAAAATTGGAGGAAGTCTCGTACGAAATGCAAGTTTTTCTGCACCCACGTGTCTCGTCTCCAGTTGCTGGTTTTCCTATGGCGTCTGCTGGTTTTCCTATGGCGTCGCCGTGTCTATGGGGAAAGCTGGAAAACCTGTCCTTTTGTCATGTTGCCAACGGTGAAAATTGCCGGATGTCTCGCACAAAATGCTCGTTTTACTGCATCCATGCGTCTCGTCTCGAGTCGCTGGTTTTCCTGTGGCGTCGCCATGTCTATGGGGGAAGCTGGAAAACCTGTCCTTTTCGAATGTGTCCAAGCAGGTTGTCATGTCGTTTTGCGTGGCAGGCGTGGCACTTTGTGACATTCCAACCTGTTTGATAACGTGTCGAAAATATCAAGCTTGGAGGAAGTCTCGAACGAAATGCTCGTTTTTTGGCACCCACGTGTCTCGTCTCGAGTCTCTGGTTTTCCTGCGGCGTCGCCGTGTCTATGGGGGAAGCTCCGCACTCCACACTCTACACTTTACACTCCACACTCCACAATTTACACTTTAGACTCCACACTCTACACTTTACACTCCACACTTTGCACTTTACATTCCTCACTCCTCACCTGAGACTTTACACTCCACACTCCACACTTTACACTACACTGTACACTTTCCACTCCTCACTCCTCACTCTACACTTTACACCCCGCACTCTACACTTTACACTCCACACTCCACACTTTACACTGCACACTCCTTACTCTACACTCCACACTTTACATTTTACACTCCACACTCCACACTCTACCTACACACCACACTCTACGCTTTCCACTCCACACTCCACACTCCACACTCTACACTTTACACTCCACACTCCACACTTTACACTTTACACTCCCCACTCCACACTCCACACTCTACACTCCACACTCCCCACTTTACACTCCACACTCCACACTCTACACTTTCCACTCCACACTCCGCACTCCACACTCCACTTTACTGTACACTGCACACTCCACACTTTATACTTTACACTCCTCACTCCACACTCCACACTTTACACTCCTCACTTTACACTCCACACTCTACACACCACACTCTACACTTTCCACTCCAGACTCCACACTCTACACTTACGCTCCACACTCCACACTTTACACTCCACACTCACACACTCCACACTTTACACTCCTCACTCCACACTTTACACTCCACACTCCACACTTTACACTCCTCACTCCACACTTTACACTCCACACTTTACACTCCACACTCCACACTCTACACTTTACACTCTACACTATACACTCTACACTCCACACTTTACACTTTACACTCCACGCTTTCCACTTTACACTCCTCACTCCACACTTTACACTCCACACTTTACACTCCACACTCCACACTCTACACTTTACACTCCACACTCTACACTCCACACTTTACACTCCACACTCCACACTCTACACACCACACTCTACACTTTCCACTCCACACTCCACACTCTACACTCTACACTCCACACTCTACACTTTGCACTCCACACTTTACACTCCACACTCCACACTTTACACTCTACACTTTACACTCTACACTTCACAGTCTACACTTCACACTCTACACTTTACAAACTCCACACTCCTCACTCCACACTTTACACTCCTCACTTTACACTCCACACTCCTCACTCCACACTTTACACTCCTCACTTTACACTCCACACTCCACACTTTGCACTTTACACTCCTCACCCCACACTCTACACACAACACTCCACACTCCACACTCTACACATTGCACTCCATACTCCACACTCTATACATTACACTCCGCATTCTACACTTTACACACTCTACACTCCCCACTGCACACTTTACACTCCACACTCCTTACTTCACACTCCACGCTCCACACTCTACACTTTCCACTCCACACTGCAGACTGGTAACAAGGGAAACATGTACAAGACGGTTCAAATAAACTATTGCAGAAAGGTATTGTGCGTGACTGCATATCCATGTGTTTTGACATCTGTACCATTAACATACGTGTGAGCATTCGGGTTCGTGGGCTTCATCTTGTTTTTCCATTATGTATATATGGATTCAACTGTGGATTTTCCCTTCATCCGATGGTGCGACCTTCGCTTCTGACGTTTCAGGTGTGCCCTGCTCAATCCGATGCAGTTTCCGTACAAGCTCAGCAGGCGGCACAGTTTTGTGAAACAGGAGTTTAACAGGTTTTTTTCTTGATGTCTGGCTGGAAAATTGGACATTAATCGCAAAAATGGGATGTAATGGGTACTTGACCAATAAACACGGGTGATTCACATCTGATTGGTGGTTCTGAGTATTGCTGCATTGCTTTCCATCCCCACTAATGGGACTTATATTTTTTCGGACGGGTGCGACCACCAACCAGACATGATGGAAATGCGCCATTTTGTTCCAGTATCCAGATAGTTTGCAACAAAACCTACCGCTGCCCCTCACTACGTCGACTCAAAATCAAATGTTTTTGGGATGCATCATTGAACCGTGCCACAATCTGGGGTATTGAAAAGGACCTACAAATTTGATCATTAAATTTCATTTTTGGTATTATATAAACACAGTCCATTTTGGGGGTCCAAGAATTTTGACCCATACTCATAGCCATGATGGACCTGATGAAAACAAATGACAGGCATCGAGAACTCCATCTCTTGTTTCAGTACAAACTGAAGAGGTGCGAATGTCACTTGCGCTTGGCTTTTCGAGGTGTTACCTGAAGTCGATTGTAGTGGCCCAGCCGTTACATCTGGGCCCCCAGGTATTCAGGCCGAGGTGGACGTTATTTTTTTCCAGGGAACCAGCGAGGGTCCTTTTCTGTTGCATGCTCTTGTTGGCAGTGCGAAGGGTGGTGTTACGCAGTGAGTGGATTTTGTGGTTCCAGGCATCCAAAGCTCTATCTCATGTTTCCGTACAAGCTGAAGAGGTTGGGAATGGTTGGGTGGGAGGAGGGTGGGGTGTTTGGGTCAATTTATGGAAACATCCGTTGGGCATGGCCAATGCACGAAGAAGTGTTGTGAGTGCTGCTGCTATACACCAACTTCGGCTCTCCGACTGTTCGATTGGAGTTCCAACCTTTTACGTCCTTTTCTGTTTGATGCCATTGCAATCTTTATCATCTCTGGACCCCAGGTACTTAGACCGCAAACAGATGCTGCTGTACAAGTTGAGGAGGTGGGAGCAGGGCTGAGACAGATTCCGGAAGCTTTTGGTATTATTTGCCGAGAATGTTAAAAATTGCTTGGGGTTTTTCTTGCTGGATTGATGTAACTCAAACAGTGTTCCCATCTTTAACATTGCGAGATTGACGGACAGAGTCCCGATACCAGTCTGTCATGATTCCAGGCATCCAAAGCTCTATCTCACGTTTCCGTACAAGCTGAAGAGGTTGGGAATGGTTGGGTGGGAGGAGGGTGGGGTGTTTGGGTCAATTTATGGAAACATCCGTTGGGCATGGCCAATGTACGAAGAAGTGTTGTGAGTGCTGCTGCTATACACCAACTTCGGCTCTCCGACTGTTCGATTGGAGTTCCAACCTTTTACGTCCTTTTCTGTTTGATGCCATTGCAATCTTTATCATCTCTGGACCCCAGGTACTTAGACCGCAAACAGATGCTGCTGTACAAGTTGAGGAGGTGGGAGCAGGGCTGAGACAGATTCCGGAAGCTTTTGGTATTATTTGCCGAGAATGTTAAAAATTGCTTGGGGTTTTTCTTGCTGGATTGATGTAACTCAAACAGTGTTCCCATCTTTAACATTGCGAGATTGACGGACAGAGTCCCGATACCAGTCTGTCATGATTCCAGGCATCCAAAGCTCTATCTCACGTTTCCGTACAAGCTGAAGAGGTTGGGATGGTTGGCTGGGAGGAGGGTGGGGTGTTTGGGTCAATTTATGGAAACATCCGTTGGGCATGGCCAATGTACGAAGAAGTGTTGTGAGTGCTGCTGCTATACACCAACTTCGGCTCTCCGACTGTTCGATTGGAGTTCCAACCTTTTACGTCCTTTTCTGTTTGATGCCATTGCAATCTTTATCATCTCTGGACCTCAGGTACTTAGACCGCAAACAGATGCTGCTGTACAAGTTGAGGAGGTGGGAGCAGGGCTGAGACAGATTCCGGAAGCTTTTGGATGCTTTTGGTATTTATTTGCCGAGAATGATAAAAATTGCTTGGAATTTTTCTTGCTGGATTGATGTAACTCAAACAGTGTTCCCATCTTTAACATTGCGAGATTGACGGACAGAGTCCCAATACCAGTCTGTCATGATTCCAGGCATCCAAAGCTCTATCTCACGTTTCCGTACAAGCTGAAGAGGTTGGGAATGGTTGGGTGGGAGGAGGGTGGGGTGTTTGGGTCAATTTATGGAAACATCCGTTGGGCATGGCCAATGTACGAAGAAGTGTTGTGAGTGCTGCTGCTATACACCAACTTCGGCTCTCCGACTGTTCGATTGGAGTTCCAACCTTTTACGTCCTTTTCTGTTTGATGCCATTGCAATCTTTATCATCTCTGGACCCCAGGTACTTAGACCGCAAACAGATGCTGCTGTACAAGTTGAGGAGGTGGGAGCAGGGCTGAGACAGATTCCGGAAGCTTTTGGTATTATTTGCCGAGAATGTTAAAAATTGCTTGGAATTTTTCTTGCTGGATTGATGTAACTCAAACAGTGTTCCCATCTTTAACATTGCGAGATTGACGGACAGAGTCCCGATACCAGTCTGTCATGATTCCAGGCATCCAAAGCTCTATCTCACGTTTCCGTACAAGCTGAAGAGGTTGGGAATGGTTGGGTAGGAGGAGGGTGGGGTGTTTGGGTCAATTTATGGAAACATCCGTTGGGCATGGCCAATGTACGAAGAAGTGTTGTGAGTGCTGCTGCTATACACCAACTTCGGCTCTCCGACTGTTCGATTGGAGTTCCAACCTTTTACGTCCTTTTCTGTTTGATGCCATTGCAATCTTTATCATCTCTGGACCCCAGGTACTTAGACCGCAAACAGATGCTGCTGTACAAGTTGAGGAGGTGGGAGCAGCTTTTGTTGTAGTAGCAGGACCTTGGGTTTCTATTTGGAATCACAAGCCAATTGCACCCAATTTGAATCATTTGACCGAGCATCGGCGAAAATTCGCACAGCCATTTTGAATTACTCACCTAATTATTATATAACCACTGTAGTGTCAATGGATTACTGTAGGAAACCTATGGATTATTGGTGCCGAATCTAGGCGGAAACCCTGCAACGTTTCCCTTCAACCAATTCTGCGACAGTGGCTCGAGAATCAACTACTGCAACTTGTAGAATCGATTCATAATGATGATCCAATCATGGTGATACGGTATACACATACCACTATGGGCATATATCACTGAAAAGGATCTTTACGTTTTATTGGATTGGTGGGACCTTTTGCAGAAAATCATTCCTTTCCAGTAAAATGGTTGGTTAATATTATATCCATTAATGATATTAATATGAGATCAATATCCATTTATTTATCGTCTAACAATAAATTTTCCCTTGTTCCAATTGCGCGCCACGAGCTCCGGGGAGCTGCGAGGTTGCAGCACTTTCCATGGAGACGGACCAGGTGGGTGGTTGTTAAGGATGAAAATTCACCCGAAACGGCCACGTGATGGTCCCGTCAAAATTGAACGCCAAAACGGCAGATTAGGGGCACTTTTTGGTCACTTGGGGTATCCAAAAATATTTGACGCAAAGCCACCAGCATCCCATAAGGCTTGGTTGCTGAAAGGGCGGCAACCTGGGTCAGTTGCCAACTTCCCTTTCACCATTCATCCTCTGGTGCTCCAACCCAGCCACCACAATCAGCACTTTGGAACCGAACAAGAGGAGAAAGCAATGGTTGGGGATGCCCGTTAAAAACCATGAAAAACCTCCCCATGTTGGTTCCCCACGATATCCCCATAGCCCCCTATTTTTCGAAGTGCGGACTGGCAGCCGCAGCCTCAGGAGATGGATCAGCGTGAGCACACTGCTGCAGTTTGGGGCCCCGTCTACGCCTACGCAAAGGTTGCTGCTTGAAGTGAAATGACTAGGCACAGACTTTGTCGCAATTGCAAGCTAAACTTGGGAAATTCAAGCAGTTGATGAAGCAAATTATCAACTGATTGTTTTGGCGGGTAATCCTCAAGGAGAAAACATGGCAACATGGCTACTCCAAACGAACCTACAGGTCGATAAACTTACAGTTTGGGCCCAGAACTTTGAGAAAGACCAACAGATTGGGTTTTGTAGTGATATCCGAGATATCCAAATCATTGGATACATTCCCCATGTTCTTCTGCGCCACGCCCCCTTTTGCGTGACGCAACCCCAGTCCCGTCACGGACAGAAATTGTGACCTGCGGGCGTGTCCAAAAATCTGGGAGATCCCACACGTATTGCCATACGATTAAAGCGTATAAAACATAAAATCGCACACACACAAATACATAAATACAATATATATATATATATAAAATATACACAACCAATTTTTTCAAATAGTATATATATATATATTATACAAATAGTATATATATATATATTATACACATAGTATATATATATATTATATATGAATATTATACATCAAACTCTACGTGAAATATACATAAACATATGTACATAGATCATACCAAAAAAACATGAGTTACACATAAAACACACACACACATACAAGACCATTTATCCATGGCGTGCCCCCGAAGATTTTTAAACGACAATATGACTGATTGAACCACTATTTCTTGGTGAATTGCTGGTCAAATAGACATTTCTTGCTGGTTTCACCTTATTTGATGGTTAAATCACCACTTTAGCCGGTGAAAAAAAAGCACTGAGGAGGAGTCTCCACCGTTGGCAGCGTCACCTGCCAGCTCAAGTAGCGGAATGCTCAGCGGAGCTCCAAAAGGTGATGATAAACTTTGTGAACCCCCAATGGGGATATCTATGGGTACAGGCAGAAATTTGAAGACCAGTTGGGAACCATGATGTTTTCCAGCATTGATTTTTGGGCCGAATGCCGCGACCCACACTCATGTTCAAAACTTGAGAACACCTCAAGTTTCCGTACCATTATTTGTGGTCACATGCTTCGTTGTTAGAGTTGGGCAGAAGAAACACCATTAACACCAGCGACTTGGGGATCAACCACCTGAAGTCGGGCATCCCCACATGATTCGATTCAATGACCGTTGCTGAAACACGGTACTGAGGTAGCAGCTGTCCTCATGAGGCTGTACTATATCGGTCCACGGCAAACGGATAGGGCATCCTATTTTGAGACAAACCCTGAAGGTTTTATCATATCCCGCCCTTGTTTCATTGATTGCATCTCACGTTATCATGATTGTTGATGATAGATGCCGAGGTTCTATATACCCTCAAAGACTATTTATTTATCACTAATCTTCTTTTCTCATGTTTTCTCAGCATTTGGTCGATGAAAGCAGGGCCGATGCATTCCGGAGGTGATTGAATCCGGTGGATTTGGAGTATGGGAGTTTACGGTGGATGCCAATTCTTGGGCACCGCCATATTTTTTCCTACTTGAGCATATCGTTCATGGATACCTGGATGTGCATCCCAGTAAGTTGTTTAGAATCCATTCATAAACCATATATTAGCAACTAAATAGGATATTATATGATGGTATATGCTGATTAGCCACTTACCAACTGCCGGTAACGAAACGTGGCTTGCTTGACACTTCTCCATTTGTAGATGATTTGCCCAGCTGTAAATCTCGGTATTTCCCCAGCCATGTTTGAGTACGAGAGGGTACTGTTGATGTTTGCAGGTTCTTCGCTTAAGCGTTAGGCTTCAATTTTGACTCATCGCCTCCCACGCGTTTCGTGTGTCACCATGGCGGGACCCTCGCGCCGCTCACCCTTGGCATGGGCCGTTTTGGCCACTTGGACCTGACACGGCATGATGGTCCATGCCAAAAACTGGGGGATGTTTGATGACTTTTTGTGTGTGCGGAACGAATGGTTGGGATACCCCGCCATATTTGGATACACCCAATTCAACGACTGGATAAAGATTCAGGGAGTCACATCTCCATTTTCCAGGAGGTGAGTAGATATTCAGTGAACACGTACAGACACCCACTGTTTTATATTATATATACATATACATATACATATATATATATACATATACATATATATATATATATTTGCGGATTTTTGAGGATATGGCAGCCCATGGCATGCTAATGCAAAATGATCCAAAGACACATATCCTTGTCCCGGGACCCACGGGAAGAGTGCGGCTCCTGCTGGGTGTTTCGCAGGTCTTTGGCTTGGTTCAACTGCCAGCTTTTGTGACCCCAGGCGCAAGTTTTAAATTCACTGCGCATTACAAGCATTCAAATCTTCGTGTCGTCCATAAAGATATCGTGCCCTGCAAAAAGATGTCTTTGATTCGTATTATTCATTTGGATAAATGTCTGTAACTGTAACCATCATTTTTTCAGTAGAAATCATGATCATTGCCAGATTTTAGATATAGATCTATTTCCAACTACCAGTACCCTTCCATTTCCATTTCCATTTCATCATTCCCAAAAAGCCCAACCGCAACGCCTCGGTGACCAGGCCTTGGTTCCGCCTCCCGCGGTGCTGCGAGCGTGGCGCGGCGGGCAGAGCCGGAGGTGGTGGACGTGGAAGCCACGGCCCTGGTGAAGCTGGAGGAGGACATTGAGGCCATAGAGCCTGGAGCCGTGGGGATGGGGAAACAGTTGGGGAAAGCGCGGGGTTTGTGAACCCCAAAATCCCAAAGTTCATCAAGGATGTGAACTGATTTAAGCTCGAAAAACTTTGATGATTTGTCGGACATCCCTTAAATCTGGGAGTCCCAGTAATATTATATGGCCATGGAAAATGGATGAAATTGATTTTATGGATGATTTGGTGTGAGAAATGAGGGGCTTCTCAGTTCCGGGGGATTCCGTTGCCTCTTTGAAAGGGTCACACCATGCCCCAGCCGCCAGGCTCAAATTCAGAAAGCTGAGGAGGACAAGGTGTGACGGTTGAATCAGTGATGGGGATGGATTGGGTGGAGCTGAGATTATCAGAAATCATCCAAGTCACCAGGGCTTGAGATGTTGCTATTTGTCCTCAGGTTTTAACCTGCAGATGAACACAGAGCCAATTTCTTCCTGATATCATAACTAGGAAAATTGCCATGGTATAGCTGCATAGCTCTATACCATAACTAGGTATACCATAATCCCCTATACCATAACTAGGTCACTAGGTATAGGAAATGGGGGGATTTTCCAGCACGCCATGTTTGACCACCGGAGGGTAATTGCACACCATTGATCACCATTGGATCGGTAGAGACAGCCAGGTTGCACACTGCTGGAAGACGACACTGTGACAACATACAACAGCCACCTTTTGCTGCATCCCTAAAAATAGATGTTTAAATTCCCATGGAAATTCCTATTGACGGAGATGTGTTTTCCACACATACAGTTATATATACATATATAATATTATATTATATCTACAATAACGATCACATGCATACCATCAGCCATGCTTGGAATTTTCATCGCCATTTTCGCCACCTTATTTTCAGCAAACAGCCCCACCCAACCAGGAACCACAACGGCCGAGGACCAGTCTCGCTTGACGCGGCTCAGCCGCTTGTTGGTGCTCACTCGCAGCTCTGCTGCAGCAACCGCTTGGCAAACCACCAAGGAGAGAACTGGAGGTGCTGCGTCCAACATTGGGAAAAATGGTGATTTATGGGGAAGAACATCCAATAACTATGGTAGAACTATGGTTTATAACTTATAACTATCATATACTAGAATAGTTATGGTTTATGGGAAATTGATTTGGGAATTGGAAGCGTTTGCCTGGCACAAGCAACTTGTTGGTTTTGTCCTTCATAGGTTGGTTGAAGCCCTGCAGGAGTTGAAGGGCCAAGTGGCAGAGAGCATGGCTTCAGCGATCTCGGAGTTTGTGGGGAAGGCTGGGGGCCGCCCCGGATGGGGCTGTGGTTTTTCAGCAGCAAACCATGGAAAGACGCTGAAAATAAACGTACACAACTTGGATTCATTCCTGGGTTTATCACCTCAGAATCTGGCAATAGATGGACGTTCATTTTGGAAGATGGCATACCACAAACTGTATCCTGCAAGTTGGAACATACGACCAATCAACACGTATGGCCCCTTTAACATTCATTTTTTTCCGATGGTTTTAGGCCGTACAGGAGTTCGCAAATGGTTGGTACTGCGGGGTAGAGAAGATTCTGCGTTTGTATTGATATATCTACGTATAACGTGTGCACACGCGCTCTATTATATATATACACAGTATGTAGAACCCTTGGGAATCAAAAATCCTCCTTAGCCCCCAGGATGATTATGACATCAGCGACGTGGCAACCAAGGTCGAGGTGTCGAGAGGGTGTCGGGGTGGACACGAGAATGGGGCAAAAAACCCAAACTATGGCAGTTCTATTGGAGCAGATGAGCTTAAACCATGTTAAAACAATCAATTTAGCTTATTTTCAGACAAACCAATATGGAGAAATGAGTCGAACGACTCGGACAAGAGGTGTAAGTAGGGCAACAGCAATATCTATGGGCCCTTTTCTTTACCTTTTGCTGGAAAAGCTCATGCATCACTTAATTCCATCTTTTGGCACCACATATCCAAAACAAACTTTGGTAAATCCAGTTAATCCATCAAAATGGTAATTTTATGGGTCTTCCCCATAGTCAGACCACACCCAAGTTCATTCTTCATTGCTGATATCCGGATTCTTGATGGTTATATCAATCCCTCTAAAAACAGGCTGGGCAAGTATATATATATAATATATCTCCACCAAATATCCACGTCAAAACCTCCATCAAATACTGCATGAGATCCCCATTCCAACTGGTGATCATTATCCAGATTCCAAAGAAAATGATAAAACCTCATCAAACCTCCCTAATTTCTACAGTAACTGGTTCTTTCTCCCACTTTACGCATATCTTCCCCATGTCTTGGAGGAGCGGGTGACCTCAGCCGTGTCCAAGTTGGACAATGTGTACCTCACCGCGGACGCCGCCAAGAACGCGCCCGAGGGCTCCAAGGTCATCATCCTGACGGATGTGGTGAGACCGGTGGCAGGGCAGATGAAGGAAGCGGGGAAGGAAGCCGTGTTGGCCTTCACCGGTAAAGAGGACAGGATGGGTTGGATGGGGCTGATGGGGCTGATGGTTGGATGGTTGGATGGTTGGATGGTTGGATGGTTGTTGGATGGTTGGATGGGGGTTGTTGGGTAATTGGTGAATTTTGGGTGAAACAGAATGAAGTGACTTCAATTAGGTGGCTAAGAAGCAGAGCCATGTGGGGGTGGGAGGATAGACTCGAGTCTGAATTCTGGGGTTTGTTGGATTTTTTTTGGAGGTGCAACGGATTGGTGGGAGAGATTGTTTGCATGGGTCGACCATTCTCAATTTTTGATGGCGAGAATTAATCTTTTAATTCGCTCCTTTGTATGGCGATTTTCGATGATTGAAATCTCAACTCTTTCTAACCAAACATCTCAGATTTGTCTCAAGCCACATTTTGTCATCTTCGCTCTGACCTTTGTCGCCGCTCGCCATGTCCTCGCTGTCCATGTGGGCCTTGCTGAGCCTTGCGGGTGTTGGTTACGCGCAGCAGCCGGGAACGATGAAAACCGAGGGAAATCCCACGATCTCAGTGACCAAGTGGGCTTTGAGTCAACATTTTCAGTACAATTTGAAATCTCAAAGTTGTCAAAGTTTGATGATCCGTGACTTTCAAAGGAAAAAACAACATCGAATTAGTTCACTACTGGTGTTTTTTTTTGGGTATTTTACAAGATCCCAAAGATGGGACCATTGAGGACCCCACTGAGGTGAAGGAATGTGGGCAAAACGGCTGCAGCAGCAAGGATCATAAGTTGGTCTTGGACGCAAACTGGCGATGGATCCACACGGAGGATGCGCAAAATTGTTACACTGGAAACAAGTGCCTGGATGGTGGTTTCAAGATGTTTCAAGTATCTTTACAGTAGATATTCAATTTGCAACCCCGAATCGGGGAGGTTTTTAATTGAGGAAGAAGTTTGAGACTGGGTGAAGACTAGAGCCAAGGTGGGATAATTCCCTTTGTGCAGATGGCGCTGCTTGTGCCGCGAAGTGTCAAGTTGAAGCTGTCGATTCCACGGATTATGAAAATACCTACGGTATCACAGCTATTCCAGGCGGAGTGAAACTGAGCTTCGTCACAGGTACCAATGTTGGTTCACGTCTCTTCTTGCTAGAGGATGATGACACCTACAAACTCTTCAAGTTGAACAACCGCGAGTTTCTGGTTGGTGCTTTGAAAGAATTTCGATTTTCACCCGCCACGAAAAGGATCATCCCCAAGTCACCTGCATTTGTTTTTTCAGAGTCTGGGTGTCTCAACATTGACATCATTGACCAGCCAGGTTTGCAGTGGATGTGGACTCCTCCACAGTGGAATGTGGCATGAATGGTGCCATGTACTTCGTGGAGATGGCCGGCAATGGTGGTTTGGGTCTGGGCAAGAACCAGGCGGGTGCCAAGTATGGGACTGGTTACTGTGATGCCCAATGCCCCCATGACATCAAGTTCATCAATGGCATCGCCAACTCAAAGGACTGGAAGCCACACCCAAAGGATTTCAGCAACAGCATGGGCCTTGGTCACTATGGCGCCTGCTGTGCCGAGATGGATATTTGGGAGGCCAACAACATGGCAACTGCCTATACCCCGCACCCATGCGACATTGCGACTCAAGGGCAGTACATGTGTGAAGGCATTGAGTGTGGTGACAATGACAAGGATGAGCGCTACAAGGGTCTTTGCGACAAAGATGGCTGCGACATCAACCCCTTCAGGAACGGCAACCGCAGCTTCTATGGGAAAGGTCCTGGCTTTTCCATCAATTCCTTGAAGCCAATGACTGTGGTGACTGGATCCATAATTCGACATATCTGAACAATCTCTGGTGAATTCCAGTAAACCAACACAGACATGGAACATGGATGAACATGGTCCATTTGTAGATGATTGACCTACCGGGTTCCCGGTATTACAAGGTTGATGTTCAATTGCCAGAGGATACCGCCCAACATGCCCAACATGTTTTGGACTCAGGTGACTCAGTTTCTGACGAACAACGGCAAGGACGACGGGAAGCTGAAGGAGATTCGCCGCTTCTACGTGCAGGACGGCAAGGCCATTGCCAGTCCACCAATCAAGATCCTGCCCGATGAGCCGGATTCCATCACTGACAAGATGTGCAAGGACACCACAGCAGCGTGATGTTGGGAACTGGAGTAGAAGATTGTGTTTAACACCTGATAAAGTTATTCAGTTGTTCCCTTATTTTTCTGGGGGGAAGCAAGAAGGCAGCCGATTTTATGTAAGTTTGTATTTCATATTTTTAGGCTGGAGTTGGCAAGTGTTTCATCCATGGAAGTTGAAAAAATACCTTGATCACAAGGACGTCCAAGATCTTTTTGGAAATCCCAACGACTTCAAGGCCAAAGGTGGCAACAAAGCTATGGGCGAGTCACTGGAGCGTGGCCACGTGGCCACGTTCTCCCTGTGGGATGACGTCGACGTGCACATGATGCCTGGGCTGAGCTAAGGTGTTTTTGTTTCTTTTAATCATGGCACTGATAAATAAATGATACAGTCGTATATTATTGCATATAGCATGGTACTTACCAAGTACCTGATTATAGTCTTAGTGCAATATATACGTATATATAATATACATACACCACTGCTGCATATGACATAGGGATATGACCACTGCTGATATCATATCACTATATATTATTCTTATCATTATAAATTATTACTATATATTCTTCTTCTTCCTATTATTATTATTACTCTTATTATTATTACTATTATTATTATTATCATTGTTATTATTACCATTATTATGACTAGTATTAATATAATAATAATATTAATTATTATTTTATATATCATCATCATCATCATCATCATCATCACCATCACCATCCCCATCGTCGTCATCATCATCATCATCATGCAACTAGCACACAACTATATATTTGTTAGTGCAACTATATATCTATTTAGGCACCTTGATATGAGGCTTGGCGGAGATATGGGTGTATTGCCAATGCACCGAACATCTTTGTCCTTGTTCGTAACTTTCTACATAAAAGACATGACTTTTGGTCCATACGGTGATAATTGGGTTTGTTTGTCTAAAGTTTTTGGGGTACCCAAATCCTTGATTGATCACTTTTCCCATTGAAAGGACCATTTTGGCGTATTCCCTTCAGAGAAAACCATCTTTTCTATTTTGGATATGCCACTGGATACTCCAAGGATGTGGTTGGACAGCTGCTACCCAACAGATGACTACTGCAGCAAGGCCGGTGTGCGCCGAGGCATGTGCCCAGGTGGTGAAGACAGCGCCCCGCAGCAGGTGCGACAGAAGTTTCCTTCTGCCTATGTGACCTTTGCCAATGTGGCCTTCGGTGAGATTGGTTCCACTCAGAGTGTCTATCCATCCACCCCTCCAGCCCCTCCAGCTACTCAGGCCCCAACTGCGACAACCAGCACTGGCTCAGGTGGTTTTCTTTCAAGTACCACAACCACCAGTGTGGCAACAAGCAATGGTGGGAACTGTGCAGGCGCATGGGAGCAATGCGGAGGACAGAATTTCGATGGACCCACTTGCTGTGACAATGGCTATACCTGCACGGTGCAGAGTCAGTGGTATTCCCAGTGCAAGTGAACTTCAAAGAGAAGCACCGAATTAGTCCCTTGGTTTAAAGTCCAGAACTGAGATGCATGACCTGAAAAAGAGCTGTAATGGCTTTCGGGTCACTTTTTTGTGAGGAATTCATTTTTTTTGTATAGTTCCTACAGCCAGCTGCCAGTTTCAGCTGTACCCAGTGGCGACTAGCAGCCTAGCAGCTGCCTTTTGTGATGAATGTCCCCCCGCTGGGAGTAGCCATCCTGTACAGTACAGCCCAGAGCCGTTTCTGCATCTCTGCCAGCAACGTGCCTGGAAAAGATGTGCAACATGTGGCAATCCTCAAAGCTAGCATAGCTCTGTTTTTTTGCCTAGTAGAAGGCTCATTTCGGGGGTATACCATGGTATACCATGGTATACCCCAGTTTCAGGCATGCCCATGTCATGAATTTCTCCCCACCACTGGCCAGGAGTACAAGTTCGGAGACATCAGCAAGGAAGCCGCCAAGCGCGCCAAGAATGCCGTGGCGAATCTACTGGGTCAGGAGCGCTGGTTGGAGATTCGTTTTCGACTCAAAGATCTCCCAGAATCAGATGGCAAAATTTATAGACTGTACAGGAAACCTCCTTTTCGGTGCTTTTGAACTTTTGAAATCATGGGTTTCTTCAGATTTTCCCAACAACACCGGAGATTTTCCACAGGAGGAGTACAAGTTTGGCGATGTGACGAAAAAGGCCATGAACAAGGCAATGGATGCTATCGCAGGCTTCACAGGGAAAGAGGACGGGGCACTGTGGACCACAAGGGACACGGGACCGCGGACCTTTGAGTGAAATCAGTGTGTGAATATGGTCTTGATTATCAAAGGTTAAAGGTTTCATGCTTTTTGCATAGGGCATAGTTAAAGGGTATCCCAACTTTTTTCAGCCATCCAACCCTCCAAGTACTGACGTTTCATGATGAGAGAATCCGGACCTTGGACCCTTACTTTGGGCTCCCAATTGATCGTTTGTTTGTCACGATTTGCCTATTGATTTCTGATGAAATTCTGATCATGGGTTTCCAGCCATTGGCAAGCCCGGATGCTTATGAAATTATGATCTCCTGGGCTTCCATGTTTCATCCCTCAGGAGTACAAGTTCGGCGACATCACAAAGACATTGCTGAGGTCCCTGGGCCATGAGTGGAGTCTACAGGGATCCCGGTGTTGTGTCTGAAAATTGGGAGAAATGGGATATATCCATAAGATGGTATATGTATATGCTTTTTAATATGTGTCTATGGAGAAAATTATGATACCTGTTGGAAATTTCAAAGAAGTGGATCTGGCACTTTTCAACAACTTTTCGTGCGCAGGAAAGCTTTGAACTACTTGGAGGATGATGATGACAAGAAGAAGTGAGCCATTATTGGGACAGCAGAGCTCCCACTGTGGGAGCGCTGACGTCGATTGATTCGCAGAATAGACACGTCGATTGATTTGACTTTTCTATAGCATAGCCACCAGATGTCAGGGACCTTTCAATCTTATTGGTGGTTGTGATTGGCAAATATCTACAGCTCCGGCGGTAGAACTGCCACCAAGGTGGCTTGGAAATGATGATGGAACAAGCCAACCCATCCAATCCAAGTCTATGCTGCCATGGCTGCTTTGTAAATGATGCAGAATCAGTCTTTGTACTCCGAAGTGTTTGGACGAGCCAAGCCAATCTGGATGGAGCATAGTGACATAACCCACCCCATTGTACACTGCAGGGGTGATGAAGGATGATGCGAGATGATGGGAGATGCCGTTGGACGCCATTTAAGGGTGGCCGGATAGGAACCCCAGAGCGGTGGGCTGAGATGCAGAGAAGAGGCTGCGGCCCTTCTTTTGGGAGGAAAAAGAAGCATCAAAACCTTGGACTTCTCAGTTTTGTTGATAAAATGGTTGTGGGTCAAAACCTTGCCACCTTGGTTTTCATTCCAAAATAGCTGGTAGCTACCGATGCTCATGACCCGTCCCCATATGAGGACAGGATGCCGAAGTGAACCTTGCCACTGAAAGCAGCTGTTCCGACTCTTCAGCCCACCGTTCTGCCGTTGAAACGCAGTCTCTGCACCCATGATTTAACCGCCCGAAAAAAGTGGCAGCAGTGATGCCAGGCGCCACAGAGGTCCCCTGGCCACAGCCGTGCCAGGCGCCAAGCGAGCTGTGTGGAGTGGCTGAATGGTCCAGGTCGGGGGAGAGCCGGAGGGATTGAAACCCAAAATGTGAAGATTCAAAGACATTCTTTCGAACGTGCAAGTCCTATGTAAGGAAGTTGACTTCAATTTTTGAGACCCAGCCGGGATCCGGCTGCACCGCCAGGTCACCTGGTGGCAGAAAGAGGGTCAATGTCAAGACCTCAGCGGGTCAGGTATTTTTCACTGGCCTTGCAAAGCCGATGGAAAAACAAAGCGAATGACTCTTACCCTCTGGTTATGTCAAAATAGCTATGGAAAATCACCATTTTTAATGGGAAAATCCACTATAAATGGTGATTTTCAATAGCTATGTTAAATTACCAGAGGGTATTTTTTTTCCCCATGATTGCTATGGCTTCCCAAGGGAACTTCGAAAGGATCAAATGTGTGGTTCCTTTCTTCGGAAAGATGGTTCAATCTCTTGCTGAGGCTGCACCCTGGAGCGAGCAAACACCGGTGTATAGGTGCACTTCGAGCTTGGTATGGCAGTTTTTTTCTTCCCAATAGACATGGGGGTTTCCTGAAATCCTGAAATAGGGGTACCCCTGAATCATCCATTTTAATATGATTTTCCATTATAAACCATCCATTTTGGGGATGACCCATTTATGGACACCCCCATATGTTGCATTCTTTTGCCGCATATCTCCAGCAGGCCTGAAGACCACAGCGAGGCAGGGGGCTTTTGGGTTGCGATGGTCAGACTTGGTTGGGCGGATCTTATGATGAGCATCAATCAGGAACGTCTGCAATGAACCATATTTTGGGGCTTCGCGGAGCACCTCTTTGATTTGACATACCAATTTTTCTTGGTTCGTGGAGGATCATTCCGCAGATTGCAACTGGTTCCCTCCACACCTCAGTAAGTCCCCTTTCTTCGTGGCATATCCCATCTATCGATCCTCCAAGTTGGATATCTCAGTGATCCCCGAAACAAAAAGTCGCCTGGAATCCATTTCAATCATCCCAGTTTTAGGGCAGAACCCAAGTTCATAAACCTCAAACTTGCGGATGGTTTATTCATGTTTCGTATATCCATCCATAAAAACCAACGATTTCCCAAGGATTTCTTCCACCTCCAGGGGTCCCAACAAAAAAATGTTCCGCCAGGTCCAGAGCACGGACGTGCCCAGCGAGCCCTGGCTGCGGGACTTCCGGCTGCCAACTCCTGAGGCATCGTCTTGGTCTTGGAAATGAAGGGGGGTTGAAGTTTGAGACACGGTGTGTTTATTACTATTGTAACATACTACGTACTACTATTGCTACTATCATTGCTATTATATGTTATCATCACTAATTAAATAATTGTTAAATTACTGATATATTATATATATAAACACATGTACATATATATATATATGTATATGTATATATATATATATGTATAGATACATATGTATATATACATACATACATACATACATACATACACACATACATACATACACACATACACATACACACATACATACATACATACATACATACATACATACATACATACATACATACATACATACATACATACACACATACATACATACACACATACACACACATGTACATAAATAAAGATATACATGCATATATATATATATATATACGTACACACATTTTTAAAAGTACCAAAGATGTATCCAACTGGATGGAGACAGGGATGTTTTCTTAATGTATTTTCATCAACCAGACATGGTGGATTTACCAGTGGAAAAAGAATGGTAAAACCGCCATATTGGTTGGTCATTTTAATGGGGATTAGACCCAATTGATGGCCATTTTAATGGGATATGTTGATGATCCACCATGAGATTTTGGGGTTTCAGCCCATCTTCAGACAAATCCAGACATGGCAATTGATGTCAGAAAGATGTTGCAGTTTGGATCCCCAGGGATGCAATGTTCATTTTGTAAATCTCAAAGCATCCAAGTTGGGGGGTTACAGTAGTGATTTTGATGTCCTTTTCCTGTCCTTTTCCCCATGATTGGTTGATTGATGGACGGGTGAACATCCATTGAACAAGCAGCAGGACATGGCAAAAATTCGACCCCTCCATTTTTCCTGAACACGATGGTCTGCAGGGTTCTTACTACCCAAATTTGTGAAACTGAGTTTCAAGGACCCAAAGGGGAAAGATCATGGTGGGTACGACCATTGGAATGCCCGTAGCGGTGCAGTGGGGATATCAACCAGCAGACGTGCTTACTCTTATTCAATGTTATTCAATTTCATGGAAATGAAGGACGTCAAAACGCATATAAGTGCAGTAGTGGTGATATCACTGGTGATCATGGGGATAAAACTACCATGGTATCAATTTTCGTTCGACAAGGCCCAATCAACAAACATACGAAACCATCCTGCACCCTACACTTTTCTTGAAACGTTTGGGCTGTCAGTCACCAACAGGTTTGACCCATTCAGAGAAACCACCGCTTCCAATAGCAACGAGCGACCCGTTGCGGAACCCATCCTGATGGAGGACCTGTCCAATGCTGGTAAACTCCCACGTGTTTGATGATACCCTCCGGGAATCAAACAGGGCTTGCTGGAAAATTCCCCATTTACATAGTTTGATGAAGTTTGATGATTTTCCCAGCTATCAAGCTCCATGTACAGATGATGTTCCCATTAAGACTCCCTGTTTGATGGGAAAACCCATGCTTTCCTGCAGATTTTCGCGCATTTCTAGAGGCTTTTTTGGCCATGTTTGATTGCCAAAGGGTAGAATCCCTGAGACCCTTTTCCATGCTGTCGCAGGCCGATCTGTCTCGAGCTTGGACAGGCTGCTGGCTTGGATGTTTCACTGATCTGACAGCGATGGCTGGTAGATGGCACACTTCTATATGGGTATGGGTCAATACCTATAGATACATTTTTTGTGGGATGAACATCCATTTACCAGTTATTTTGGGTTCACTACATTACCAAGGTTTTGACTCATACCCATATCATCTATATTTTTGTGTCTGAATATGTGTAACTATACATGTCCACACACTCCTGCTTGAATGGGGATAGAAGTGCAAGTCGAGCCAATCAGAACGCTTTACAAAGTTGAGGCAACATCCATTTGTGGTTCATTATATAATTATATAATTATATATAATTGCTTTCGCTGCCGAACATCTTTGCATCCTTTCGTGGGAATGTGGTCTTTCCAAGGTATAATTGCGCTAGATGCCTTTCATGACTCAGCGCAAGATAAAGGACATTATACGTTTTTTTTTAATAGATAGGCAACGGTGCCAGCGAATCTTACTTTCGAGTGTTCTTCATACACATGGCCGAAGCTAATTGCTGGCTCCAAAGGGATAGGACAAGCAAAGTAGAGGCCTTTGCAGAAGGGGTCCACCTGGGCTATCATGACTAACTGGAAGTTCTCTTACTTGGGTTTGATTCAAAAATAGGGTATTTGGGTATCCTCAAATCTGATGGTTGATCAAGTTGATCTACCCTCCAGAAATCAAACATGGCTTGCGGGAAAATCCGTCATGAATCATTGATTTTCCCATGAAAACTCATTAAAACTACTGGAGTTTCAGTTGCCACGTTTGACGACACCGGAGGGTTGGAAAAACCGACCATTTTGAGGTATCACCACATTTATGGACAAAGCCACTTCTCCCCACAAGCTGATGCTGATGCTTGAGGCAAGGAGGTCAAGAGACCCGAGTATGTGAACCTGATCAGCCTTACCAGCAAGATGAAAAAGCAGGCCAGCAACTGGGTCAGTTGCTTGGATACCGGGTGACGTGGCATGAGGGACCTCGGCGGATTTTGACTGATGATCGTTCCAAACTTAGGTGGGTTTGATGATCAGTAGAGCTGTTGAATGGCAAGAATGACTGATTTAACAGAGATGCGTGTTTTTTTTTGGGGGAGGGGGAACTAGGTCCGGATTGTTTTTCTGCCCAGCTCAAGATTTCCTGTGGGCTGACCTGAAATAGCGGCACGGGCCCAGTTGAGGCATTAGTGGACAAAATCTGGAGACCAATCCCAGCCTTTTGGCTGTTCAGACACATGCACACTGCTAGTATTCCAAGAATAACACCGTGCTTGTTGAAAATTGGTTGATTGGTTGGTTGGTTGGTTGGTTGGTTGAACGATCGATCGATCGATCGATTTGATTGATTGATTGATTGATTGATTGATTGGATTGGATTGGATTGGATTGG